GAGGCGGGAGCAAAAGTGACTGATCCACCGATGAAATGCTTCCATCCACTTCCATACAAAAGGCCTGCTGCTCCTTAACCGTCCAATAACAAGTCTGTAGATTTTCACTGGAATGTAACAGGCTGCATTAAACGTTTAATGTAATGATACTCAAGTGCAATCAGATAGAACACCATGCTGTGTAGGTGGTAGGGATGTCTTAGATATTCAACGGGTGGAGGGGGGCGGGTTGTGTGTGTGTTTGTGTGCGCGCATATATATATGTGTGTGTGTGTGTGTGTGTGTGTATGTATGTGTGTCAGTACTCCTACAGCTGCAGCTGAGAAATTGCTTTTCAACAAAGAAAGAAAAAGCACTACTCCCATGCATGTGTCATGGCTTACCTCCGACTCGTACGGAAATGACTGAATTCATGTGAAGGGGATGCAACGTAATGTTCCTGAGAAACCAACACTTTATATCACACCAACAGTCCCTCTGGCATAGATCTAGTTCACTATTTATGTAACGGTTATTCAAGCAGTGTAATCAAGTGTAGTAAAACCGCCTTATTTTGCTTTCAGTTCTGCAATTGCCTGTTTGCATTTGAAACCATGTGCATGACACTGAACTCAGAATCAATCTTAGGCATATCAAATTGATCATAACAGAAAAGATAAAAGTGTGTTTTTAAGTATGTGTTTGTATACCTGTGTGTGTGTGTGTGTGTGTGTGTGTGTGTGTATGCGCGTGTGTGTGTTTGTGTGTTTTTTCTGTTCATGCTGGTTGCAGATAATTTATTTAACGCACATACAGAATAAACTACTGTAACTGTCAGTTGTCTTTGTTTCCCTCTTCACCAAAATAAATTGGAAACAATAGAATTGGAAATACTAATGTCAGAAGAGCTTAATGTACCAGGGTGGGCAAACCTACAGTGTAGGAGAGTGTTAGTCATTGTGTGGGTCTTCAGCATCTACACAGGATTCCCCCTACGTCAGTGACTAAAACATGAAAAATGTAGTGCTGCATTTGGTGTTGGGTGTTATATCCATAATGGCGTGCTATCAGATAAGGTAATGCTGGGATCTTTGTTATTTTAACATCTTATTTGTTGTCTTTTTATGGTCTCAAAGGCTTCAAGGTTCAATAATATATGACTTCTTTAGTGTGCTCTAGCTGAGAAAACAGTTTATTCCTCCGCCTGTCAAGCATAAAATCACATTGATAATTATTGGTTGTTGCCATCCTTGAAGTGTGGCTCCGTGGATGGCAGTGTCGGCCACTTTGGTCCATGCAAGGCCTTGATATTTTGTACAGATTTTCATGATCCCCAGTGGATGAACCCTACAGACTTTGGTGAGCCCCTGACTTTTCAACCAGCACTACTATGAGGTTGACATTTTTTGTTTTGAGTGTAATAGCTCAACAGAGACAGATAATTACTGTAAAATATGCTACAGTTATTGAAATTCCTATGTTGTAAACCCTAACTCCCTGACTCTTCATAGAAGGCCATCATCAGGTCTAAATTTTAATTTGTCCAATGCTTTGGTTTATGATAAGACTCCTGCCAGACTATGATGTATGACATTACCATTATCCTCAGCTCTACTTTGTGTTAAGTGCTATTTAGGAAATGTTAGCAACTAAGATGATGAACATCGTAAACATTATACCTGCTAAACATCAGCATTCTAGCATTGTCACTGTGTGCATGTTAGCATGCAGATTAGCATTTAGCTCAAAGCACTGTTCTATAGTCTTGTTCAAAGCTTCATTGTGTCTAAATATTACTTTCACCTTCAAGCTCCTACACATGTAGAAAAGTCTATATTCAAGGTCTAGACAAGTTATAATAATGACACACTAGTGTTGCATTGTCAGACTAAAATATCACCGCATTGCAAGACATTAGTCTCACATTGCCATCTCCCACACTGCTTGCACCATCAGGAGACAGAAAGAAAAAGATAATCAACTGAAAATTGTGAAAATAAAGCGAAAAAAAGTGTGAGCAGGAATCTTGAGCTGAAAGTTTTGAACATAATACACAATTTATCCACAAATGCAGTGCCTTCAGACTTATTTTCCTCCCAAGGTTGGTGAGGGTATTGTCACGTTTAAATGTGGCTGTGTGGGAGTGAGAGCACAGTGAATGGTTGCTGTCTGGGAAGGTCAGGACAAGGCTTTGTTTGAAACAGGCAGGATAGGTGCTGATAAAAAAAGAAAAAACCACCAAGAAACCAATTCAAGAGAGCAACATTAAACTTCTCCTCTCCTGTGCGAAACTGAGCGCTGTGACAGGACCATGCTACAAGGCCTCTGCACAGCCCGGCATCTTGAGAACATACAGTGCAGTGGGCGAGCATAAGTTTTCACAAATGAGTAAGACGGCCTTTGTTGTGGTGTATCTTGGAGAGAAGTGGGAAGAAAACTAAAAATAAGCACTTTAGATGAATGTTCAACATCAGTTCTGGGGAGACAGAGGCACAGTCGGATGGAACCTGTTAAACCTGGACTATTTAGAGGATGTTCACACAGCTGATGCTGCTCACTATGGAAACATCTTTTCCATCAGCCACAGTCAGTGCACAAATAAAGACAATGGAAATTATCTCTCATTCAAATTCAAAATATAGGCTAATTGTTTATCGAGAAAATACACAATCATACAATGGCTGAATTTCAATCAGGTCCTAATTAAGACTGAAAAATGTTTTTTCTTCCCACCCCTTCTACTTTATTTTATAATGTCAGTTGCATAATTATGTGGTATGGTTGGTTGCAGAGATTTTGCTGTACATGGGAAGTCTGTATGATTTGTTTTACCAGAGAAAGAGAGTCAGTACAAGAAGTGTTTTTTTTTATGTGCTTTATGTTCCTCATCCTGCAGAGGAGTAAACCCTCCCTTGAGACATTGAAAATGCTTTTCATTATCAGCTGTAATATTTAATATTCAATTACTGTTTTTTAAAGAGTGGAATGTTGATACTTTCAGAATTGTGAATTTTGTGGAATAAAACTTTTTATTTACTTTTTATTATTATTATTATTATTATTATTATTATTGTTATTATTATCATTATTTAATTTACATGATGTTACAGTCCCCACTTTTAGATTTTGTGTTGAATTAAATGTTTTCTTCTGGGATATGTCATATGATGTACTAATTAAAAAGATGCTTTAAGCATCAATATCAAATCCAAGTTTTGAATCTATACCCCTGATATCTTGCTCACTACTACGCATGTCTGTCAGTATATTTGTGCTTGAGTCCTCTCCCCGTCTGTTTTTAAAACACATTTCGAAAACCTTGCAATGCATTACCTTTGTTTATGTGTCATTGTTTTAAGTGAGAATAGGTACATTCGAAGAAAAAAGAAATAACACAATTTTTCTGTAACTTATGTGGCTTATGATGGCTTATGTTAGCTAATGTAAGCTAATGCTAGCACACTTCAGATTGATATTGCTGAACAAAATTGTCTGACATTGCTTAGTCATGTTCTTGATTTTATGACTCTTCTCTGTTTGTGCAACTGTGATACTATATTTTAGCATTTACCATTATTCTGTACTTTGTTTAATTGCAGGAAGGTTTGAATATCTTAAACAACTTGCTAAAGAAACTTACTTGAATTCAACCACGTTTTTGTTCTCACATAGTTGTTTGGTTCAAGCCTTGTATAACAGTTTTAAATCAGACATCTCTTTTTTGTGTACTTGTCCACCTGTCTCCACAGATTTGACGGGTTGGTACTGTACAAAGAAATCACAAATCCCTTTGACTCTACAGCGCTTGTTGGTCAGTGCTCAGTGGAGAGGAAAGAGTCGAGATGACTTTTTCATTTAATGCAGTGAAGGGTACAAAGCTAGACTGGTGCATCACAAAATCATCTTTTTTGAATGCGTTCGGGAACTAAAATGCACGCAGGATGTACTTTGTGCTACATATACTGTATTAAGTGGTTTGTTTCCTGTGTCGTGTTCTCCACAGGGATCCAGCCATGTCAACATCCAGGCAGCTCAAAACTCAGACTGCATCAAAAGTAGAGTCTTTATTGATGAGTGGGCAAAAGAACCACCTCCGTTAAACTGTACAGTTACAGGATATCATCTCGCGAAGGAATGCCAGACGTAAAAATTATGGACCTCAGTTCACTTTTCACTTTGTCTTTCCATATCAACATCTGTACAAGTTGTAATCCCCAGTCTTGAATCTATGAAATGCAGTGGAATGCATGCTAATACAGTATGCTGTGCAAGTGTCCACATTTAGAAAATTGACTGCACAAATATATCTATGCCGAACATACTGTAGGTCAGACATTTGCATTACATGAATCTTAATTTGGAGAGACAGCTTAATGTAGGCTAAGCCGGTTCCATACACCAAACATCTCTGGGGTCGTTTCCAGCCTGAAGACGTTTTGATATTAAATGTATCCAGATGATCCAGACACTCAAATGGTGACATTTACGTAGAGGGGAAATATAAGAGGGCCTGGTAACATTCAAGTTTCCTTCGCATTAAGTGCCACTTCATTTCTTCATTTTTTTTTTTTTTTTGTATTCTCATGAGAGCATTACAGTACTTTAAAAACATTCCCAAGATCATCATTTGCAAATAAATGTTCATTTGCTAATGATTTTTTTTTTCAAAACATCATAATTTACATCATCATTCAAGTCATTAAATCCTATGGCCTGTTTGCAATGTACAATTGTCATTTTCTAATTATTCTGTCCCCCTTTTCATTCTCCATCTGTATTTCACATTTGCTTGTACATTACGATTAAAAATAAGACTACATTTTCAATTATGGAAATCCATTTAAAGGATAAATTTCCATATGATGACTGTTCAATTTTGCATGATTTTGAGACCACAAGATGAGGCTGCTTTCATATTGACTCAGTATCACTGGAACCTATTCTATTATCATTATTTCTTTCTCTCTCTCTCTCTCTCTCTCTCTCTCTCTCTCTCTCTTTCTCCACCCTCCCTCCTCCCTTTTTTTCATTTTTCTACCTCTTCCTCTCACACACACATACACACAAATGCTATATAAAAACACACAAGCAGGAATATACATTCCTGTACAGTCTATACAATATCAAATCAAGTCATATTTCAAAATAGTGTCATCTGCTTAACATGTATAGTTTACAAATAAAGGAAAACAGGCAATTTTTTTATGATACAAAGAAACCTGACACGCCCTAAATCAAGTCCAAAAAATCAAGCATGTTAGGGGCTTCTTGGGTTCACAACAGCTATTTAAATGTATCCAAGGTTATTGAGTCCATTCGATATTCTGCAGTCTCCTTTGAATTCAATGAAAAGGTGTCCGGGGTGGTCTATCAATCCATTCAGACCCTTTGAGTTCCTTGATGTGTTTCAGAGTTAGTAATGCTCTGATCAACACTTTCTATTCACAGTCCACAGCACTTTTCTTCAAGGATTTCAACCCTCTGTGTGTCTGTTTTGTGTCGCATGTGACACAGGAACCAGTTCTCAGTCGAAAAACTCTGGGGCGTGTCCCTCTGAAATAAGGCAACATCAATTTAAAATGGCATCTGTCACACTTAGTTGGAGTGGTGATTGTTGTGATCCTTCCTACTTCTTAATCATACAGTACATCATCAGAAATACAAACCATTAAAGAGTTACCAAGGCCTGTTCAAACCTTTGCACCAGACACATTTATTCAAATATCAACATTCTTCATAAAGTAGCACTGTGCCTGCATTTGTTGGCAAAAAATGTGATTTTTGTTGTGCAAAACAACAAAACAGACACTGACACTTAACCAAGGTGCATTATATCACTTCTATTCTCCACGTTTCCCTTTAAAACCTAAAACATTCTCTTCATTAAGCTCATATCTTATCACATAATGCAGTAGGCCTCATCCTGGGGCAGGTGTTGTTTAGTCCTCCAGTAGGTGGGCAGGTGAGCTCTCAGCACTTTCCTCAGGTCCTCATTGAGCAGGAGACAGAAGATGGGGTTGACTCCAGCCTGGGCGAAGCTCATCCACACTGTGATGGAGAGGTACCTGTGAGGGATGGTGCAGGACTTGACAAACACCCTCCAGAAGCACGCCACGATGTAGGGAGCCCAGAGCACCAGGAAGAGCAGGGTGATGGTGTAGAACATCCTGCCCAGCCTCCTCTCTGACCTCACCTCTTCCATCCCGAGCAGCCGCCGGTGTTGATTGTGTAAATTTTGCCTGATGCCCAAAAGAGTGGGTGGCATGGGACCACGACCGAACCCAGCAATCCAGTTAGCTGCAGCTTGACCTGTGGCCCCAGGACCGTGGAAGGTCCAGTTCTGGCTGATAGCTGGCACCAGCTGGACAGGTTTCATCTTGCGGTGCCTGTACTCAAACAGCAGCAGCTTGGCATAGAAACCGTGGGTGGCCAGGACCACCACAGCGAGCATGAGCATGAAGCCCAGGGTGTCGTTGGTCTTCAGGTAGCGGTGTTCAAAAATGCACTGATCCTCATCACGGATGAACTTGTATGTCCCCACATCAAAGACAGGTGGAAACGCCATGGCAACAGCCAGAGTCCACACCATGCAAATGATGGCGGCGCAGGTCCAGATGGTCATGCGCTTGGCGTAGAATCGGTGGTGGGCGATGGCAAGGTAGCGGGTGACAGCCACACAAAACAGCATGAAGGCAGCGTGAAAACAAAACAGCACAGCCATAAAAGCCACAACTTTACAGCTCAAGGCACTGTAAGTCCAGGCCGAGCTGTTGTGGACGGAAACCAGCACAAAGGGGAAGCAGGCAGCTGAGCGAACTGCATCGGCCAGGCACAAGTCCAGGAGAAAGAAGTAGGGAGCCTTGTGAAGTGTCCTGTCTCGTAGGACCAGCAGGGAGACCAAGAGGTTGCCTACAAGGCTGACACAGATGATCAAACCCAAGAAGACCAGCTTAAAGTAGGCAGACATATCTGTGGCTGAGACTCCTCCACTGTTGCTGCTGCCGTCACTGCTGCTGCTGCTGCTGCTGCTGCCGCCTCTTGCCAGTCCACTCTGCGAGGCCAGCACAGCCAGCAAACTGCCAGGGCCATCGATGGCGAAGCTCTGGTTAGCCATTCTATCACCTTCCTTCCACAAGAGCCTGCCTGGTTCGGCCCCTTTATAAACACTACTGATCCTCCTACAGCCGTCACCTCCCACGGCTCTCTCGTCTTTACAAGGAGAGGCCGTAAGGGTCTTTTCTACATGACAGACTCATCTTTCCTCTTTGTCCACAAGCACACCACCTGTGAACAGAGACACACATTTTGAAGAATGAAAAACAAGATGCCTGATGTGCGCGTTAGGTCTGAAGCAGCCCCCTAAATAAAACTTACATTTAACAGCATGGATATAGAAGTGCTGTGTTGGGCAACACAGTGGAAATCTCTGCCTTCCTGTTTCTCTGAGGCTGGGATCAGATCAGCAGCTCTACAGCATGCCAGCTCCTTGGCTCTCTCAGTAATTACCTTGCCCGTTGCTAAGATACAACAGCTCACATACTTTGTGCAAGTGTGGGTGTTTGAGTGAATGCATGGGGGTGTACAGGGGGATGGAGCAGACACAGTACAACCAACACTGGGTATGTCCAACCAACAGAGATATTGTAAATGAGCAAAGAACATTTTATGCTTTTGTCTCTGCAGCTCTGTGCATGTGTGCATGTGTGTTGTGCGTGTGTGTGTGTGTGTGTGTGTGTGTGTGTGTGTGTGTGTGCGTGTGACAGTCGGTTAAAGAGCAGAGGGTGTAATCTGTGCCATTCACAGCACATACTGTAACAAATATGAGAATACGATGGCAGAGGAGGCAGCCATTTGGTTTCTAGCGTACACCTATGTGTGAAGTGTGGAATTTTACTCAACAGGGGGAGAAAATCATCATTGTGATCATCATTGTCAGGCCTCGGTGCTGAAGCAAGGAACCTGAAATCAGCCTTTTTTTTAAAAGATGACATGATTAAAAACATGAACACTCGACTAAAAAAAACCACATACGAGACGCAGCCTCTCCTAAAAACTCATTTACAGGCATTAGATGATAATAAAATATAGCTGTGCTTCTCTGGGTGGGCCTTGTCTATATAGGCCATGAAACACAATATGATCTGCTGTAACTGTAGGCTTTTTTTCTTTTCTTTTTTTTTACCATACATAACAGCCCTCTGCCACCTTGACAAATATCATTTCACCTGATTAGATGGCTGCCATGTCAGCTAGGCCTGAAACACAGACTGGAGTGAAAAACAGATGAACAGGTGTCAAAATCACCTCTGCTGTGTTTTTTTGTGCGTGTGTATATGTGTGTGTGTGTGTGTGAGAGAGAGAGAGAGAGAGGAAGATGATAACCTACCTTTCATACCCTCATTTTTTTGGGGAGGGGTGGGAGAGGGGGGGGTGAATGATCTGTTCTTCTCTCACGATAAAAACAACAACAAAAAAAATGATCCCAGTCGTTTTGTCTCACTGTTTGTCAAATCGAGAGAAAAAACACTGAATAAAGCCTCATGCTCTTGCTGTGCTCTCAGGCTCAAACAACACCTGTTATGCATAAATCCATCGCATGGAAATCGAAATGAGCAACATATAATAAACATAAGACGGTATAGAGGCTATCTAATAATCAACAGCTGATCAAACCATCCAGGGTGAGCACTCTGCTGTTAAAGCCACATTTAATAGATATGTATAAAAAAAAATATCCACTGCCACCCTTTTTTACTGTCTCATAGAGAGGGATGTGTTCATTTGGTCTGTGTCTGAATATCATCCGAGAAAACAGATTTTATGTTGCATCACGTCGAAGATGGGTTTCCAGAGGGCTGGAAAGAGACGCGATAAAAAAACATATCTTGTTCTGTTCATATATCCAAATGATGTCAGATTTTCAATGCTTATAATAACCCACCCACAAACGTTAGAGAGGAAAAAAAGATCGCGCATCCCCTAAATGAATCGTCTTGGCATGTATATTGGCCAGTGGCACCAGAACAATTAGTCCACACAGACATCAGCCTCGATACGTCTCTTTTTTCCATCTTTCAGTCACAAAAAAAGGCGATGTATTTACCCTGAACTGTTAATATGCAGTCTTTGTGTTGCTGTCCAGCGAAGGTGGACTACATCTTAATCGTCCACAATAAAAGCCTCCACGAGAGAACAAATACATTTTTGACAAATCCAGCGATGTCACGAGGAAATCCACATTGCAAACGCTGTCGAGATCACGACATATTAAAATAAAACAAAATAAAAAACAACAAAAAACAAAAACAAAAACAACACGGCTGGATTAAGCGAATTATTCCTGAATAATCCCAATTATGGCTGCTTGCAAGGAGGCAGCTCGCACATTCGCGGAAACCGTCGGTTTTGTTCGGAGACAGGGAGAGAGAGACGGAGAGAGAGAGAGAGAGAGAGGGAGAGAGAGAGGGAGAGAGGGAGAGGGACAGGGAGAGGCGGACCTGTGCAGCATTGTGGGCCATAACTTGAAAGTGATGTTTTATTCTAACCGTCTCTCTGGCATCATGTATGACGCGTCTGTTCTCTCCAGTATGGACACAGTGAGGAGCTCCAGCTGTCAACAAACTGTGTCTTTCATTGGTCTCCCGCCCTTGGTGACAGACTGGGCTGGCTGGACCCAAAATGACACAGGATGGCCTGACAGGGCCGCAGCAAGGGATTCTGGGTCCTCATTTAAAGGAAAGAAAAAACAAAAAAACAAACAAACTTCAAACTAAAACCATCATCCCATACAGTCCATACAGAGTTTTTGTATTATATTATATTATATTATATTATATTATATTATATTATATTATAAAAAATAAAAAATATTCTATTTTAGTATAGTGTTCAATTATTTTGTTTGCCATGCTAGTGGAGTAGCTTGTGTCTACCACTAATAGTTTTTTTTCCTTTAATGGCACCATGAATTTAAGGTCAAAATTCAAACAAGAAATTCCCTTGAGCCTCAGCTATACTTTGTATACACTAGAATGCTAACAACCTTAACTAAAATGGTGAACATTAAACCTGCTCAACACCAGCATGTTAGCACTGTTAAGTACAGCCTCACAGCGTGACTGCAGATGTCTTGTTTTACCATGTATAGTATATTTATACCAGGTACAAATACTCTACTACATACCAAATATTTTTGGCACTCCAGGCCTTATGGTTTTACCTCTACAGTATATTCCTCTAACTCCTCAATGGAAATGTTTTGAATTATAAAACTAAGTCTTATTGGCTAATTCGTCCAATCTAAAATACCCATAGGCCTTAAACAAAATTAAGGTGATAAATTATTTATTTTGTATATACTCTGGGGAATTTTGTCTTTATTTGATACCCAAAAGCAGAGAGATGGCAGAAAATATCTGTAGTGCAACAAGACACTGCAAAAGTTTTATTAGCAGTAGGCTATTGATACACTAATCAAAAATCATAGGCCTCGGGTAATAATCAGAGCAGCACAACTATAGAAAGATAAACAGAGAACATTTGTGCCCTAAGCTAAATGTCACTGAAAAGATGGCTTGTCATGTAGGCAGTAGGCCTACATTTAGTTATGGTTGAAAAATAAATGTTAAATAGATGTCTTTTTATTCATGAAATTAGTTGCTATCGGAAAGTGACGAGACAGGCCGGGACTAGCTGGTTAGCGTGCTAACTTAGGTTGAAGAAAAGACATGATAGAGACAAGAGTTAACATTGGTGTTGCTTTCCACCACTGGAGACAGCTGTTTGACAAGTTTGATGCTTAACTCACAACCTTTTCCCCAATCTGGTAGGTAAACAGCTGTTAATGCTAATGCTAGCTATGTAGCAATAGCAAAATTTACAAGTAGCTCCTTTAAGGCTTAATCTAAGATTAAAAGTGGAATCTTTTTTTTTTAAATGAAGTTGTGTTGTGCAGAATTGTGTGGGTTTGAGGGATGTACTTAACAGATATCTGTCTTAGACAAAATTTGCACTGAGACAATTGTAGTAAACAGTCAAATTTGGGATAAATGACACCTGTGATGGAGATAAAAGCAATAAACATCCATGGCCCATGGATGCTCGTTCTTATTGAATAAAATGAAATGTTAAAGGAGGGGTAGTGTAGAGCACAAGATTTGCCTTGTCTTGGGGGGATTTTGCTGTCAAATATGTCATTTAAGTAAAAGATTGTACTCCTCATTGTTTCAGCTGTTTCTTGTGATGAAATAGCTCCATGTGAACACGCCACCTGCCCATTAGAGTGATGTCACACTGGGTAAGAAAGAAAGAGTAGGAAAATAACCTATTTAACTGCTGTTTTGTAATGTGTCATGACACCCAGAACTTTTTTTGAAATCACTGCTTAGCATGGCTTTCAGTGGTGTAGATTATTGCTTAAAAGGGCATTAATTATTTCAAAGTGAGCGTCTGTTGTAGAATTCACACTGATTATCCTCCTTGGGTCAGTTTTAAGTCTGCTTAAATTTTTAATACCTTCCACACTCGAGCTATGTGACCATCACACAAATTAATCACTCCCGCCCTTTTCCCTGCAGAAGCCTGTGAAATAAAAGTGCGTTCCGTTTTAAGGCCAAATACATCATCACCATATAATCCAAAGGATACCTCACACCCAAAGATGGACAGAGACAATTATAGGTTTGAGGTAAGTAAAGTCAATAGAAGATACAGTAGGTTGATTCAGCAGGAAAACACTGAAGCGTTTTATGAGACTCACATGCTCAAAAAGTAAAGATGCTGTCTTTCAGGTATCAGCCTGTCATGAGTATAATGAGAAATAGTCTGTGCCAACTCAATATGTAGTATCAGAGGGGGTTTCCTGAATAATGTCAGCTTCCAAACACTGATCTCAGCTTACAATGGCCAGTGTGCAATGTACTCTAGTATGACACTATGACTTCAGTGCAATGCATGACCTTTGGCTTCTATCTGCAGCTCATGTTGCTGTGTATTTCCACTTCAAGCGAAGCTGAATGCACTCCAGAGTCGGAGGCGCTACAGGCTCTGATGTTATTTTAGTGGTGTGTCAGTCTCTCCAAAAATTTTCTGCTCTGCACTGCAGTGTCATTACTGTGCAGGAAAACTGTCGTGCATTTGCAGAACGGATGAAAAGAAAGACAAATAAACAAAGACACATAGCAGTAGCAGTACAGGGTATAAGACCATGTTTTAATGGCAATACACTGCAAAAACTTTCATCACTTCAAACATGTCATTCAGTGCTTCAGTCTGTCTGGGAGGTTGTCAAAGTTTTGATTTATCAAACCAAATATGCAACAGTGAGTGAGGGGGCTGGTGTTTTCTAATAATAAATATCACTTTCACATGTCACACTGGACAGATTTTCCACTTGTTTTGTCCTTCAAGCAGCATACATTTCAATCTGATCCTTTTCTAAAGGTCATCAAATTGTCATTTTTTAAGCATTAAGGCAAAATACTCTATGTTTTGCTTTCATAAACAAAAATACCCATTTATATTATAAGTCTGTTCAGTGTCCCACTATGGTAATGTGTTTTTTTTCTGTCCTTCAATAAAGACATAAAAACAAATGGAATTCACAAAAGTTAAATTCATGGCAGTGTGGTTAAACAACAACCTAAGCTACACACTGACAACAACAATCAAAAAAACAACTGCATTATAGTACTGACTGAATAAATCAGAATATAACACCACATACACACATCTCCACATGACAAGAAATGAAAATATCACCAATATTTTTATAATGACTTTGTCAAAGATATGCACTTGGCATGGAAATACTCATAAATTGTACCCAATAGATCTTTGCTTTGATGAATAATCTAAAAACTCACACAGAGATAAACAACATCAGCATGTGTTTTAACTTGATGGCTTATTTTGGAATCATGACAAGGCACTTAATTCGTGAATGAACTTTTGTGGCATAATCACAAACGGTGCAAGACCATAAGTAGTCCCATGAAGAAGAGGGCACTGGGTTCCTGCATCACTATCGAGAGGGATACGACTCCACTCAGGAAGATGATGGATGGCATCAGATTCCTGTTTACGTCACGCTCAGACCGGGCCTCAGAAGCCTCTGACAGTGTGTTTGATAGATTCTCTAATAATGCGTCAGGGGAAATCTGGGGAGCATCTTCTGTCTCTTCCCAGGCCGAGACAGACTGAAGAGCTAAGTTTTGGCTCGCCTCAGTGACACCTGAACTCACTGAGGTGCTCTCTGTGACTTCAGGTGATGCTGGACTTTCACCTTCTGCCCCCTGACTCTCTGCTACAGGAGACAGGAGCACAGGTGTACTGCTCTCATATTGTGCTGGAGACCTGCTGGAAATTTCTGATGGTCCTGCAATAAATTCACTCAATCCCAACATAACCTCTTGCTCAAAGGCCTGAGTCACACTGGGAGCAGAGACACAGGCAGCTGCCAGTTCAAGACAAGGATGACTAGCTGGGCTTTCAGTCGATCTGTCCTCTCCTGTTGGCCACAGATTTGTCTCTGTGGCTGGAAGATGCATGCAAGAGCCCTCTGAAGGAGGGATTTCCTCTCCGCCAGCCTGGGAGCTGTCTGATCTCGGCTTTGACTCTCGTTGTAGAGACGGCAGCAGCGCAGAGGGACTACTGTCTATGGGCTGCTCTGACGTTTGGTTGCCTAATTCACAGTGGAGTCTGGGTAAAGGCTGTGACTTATTTGGCTGGACTGATTCGCTGGCACAGAGTACAAAGGATGAATTAGTTTGAAGTGTGGTTTCGGAAGACAAACAAGGGAATCGTTCACCTGGGGATACAGTGTGAGCGGACAGTGTGCCATCAGCAGATGGAAGCTCGTGGTTGGGCGGGACAGAGGGACCAGATGGGGGAACTGCAATCTGTTAAAGTAAAACAGGGAGACAACAGTGACAGCGAGGAGACTGTAAAGACAAAGGGAAAAGATTTGTATTCTACATTAACATTTCACACAGAGAGAAGAAAAGCATTTCACCGCATACTAATGCTTTTCTGTGAAATGGATCCCATGCTGACGTCGTAATTGTGAGGAAATGCAAACAAAACATTAGCGTTATGATGGGACCGACGGACAACTTATTTTCAGAATTGTTGGCAAGAACTTAACTTGTAATGCCTTTACTTCCCCTGTCATGAATACAAAACAAGATACTTTCCTTTTACTGGAGTCCACACAAAACAAGATTATCAAAGGGAGGGAAAAAAAGAGATTTCATTGTTACTTTATCCTCAAGTTTATCCATTGAACATATTTTCACAAACTGAACCAGGGGGTGATTGTTTTTCTTTTGAACAACAGGTACTGGAACTAATGCCATCCATTAATTCTTTTTTTTTTTTCACAGAAAAAAGCTCATAATATTGAAAAGAGCTTTGAAGCTGCTTTGACAAACCTTCAAGGTCAAATGTAGATAAAAGCATAATAATATAAAACCAAATTACAAACCAGATGACAAAAACAGCACCCAGAAGAACAAGCGCAAGAGCAAGACACATAAAACATGAATAACAGAAAGGCTAAGATAGGGCACTCAAGTGTTAATGTAGAAGATAGCTAGAGACAGATGAATATGTTAAAACTTTTCTATCATTTTCTATGTTAATATCATGTTTTCAAATGAAAATCACTTAATGAACTGGTATCATTTTTGAAGGCAAAACATGACAGTTTTTTTTATAGTTTTTTTTATCTATAATAATAAAAATATAGCTACATCTAGAGTTTTGTATTCTGCAGTTTTTTTTTTATTGAAATCCTATGCTTTATAAATTTACAGCAAATACTATCCAAGACATCTGTTTTCAATTTGACTCGTGATAGCACTTTGTGTCAGTCTCAGAGAAAAAATCTATAAAGAAACATTTTGAAAGCAGCACAGAATGAGTAAGAAGCTAAAGGGAAACCAAGCTTCTGCAAACAACTGAATACTCAGCACATGAACCATTGAAATGGTGAACTCTGGCAGTTATACTGACAAAATTTAACTTGAAAATGACAACACAAAACTTGGAGAGTGAATTTGTCAGAATGTTTAACCTGTAGATCCTGAAAATATACTGACAGACGTTTGGAGCAGGGAGGGAGCTGATGTTCACACAGTTGTTGACTGGTTCACCTTTTTATTTTAATGCTCAACTGAAGGAAAACATCATGCATGTGAATACTGGGTGTAAAACAAACATACAGATGAGCTGAATGAGTACATGCCTAACATATATATTTGTATTGTCAGTGAAACATGAGTACCAGATCATGTCGTGTTATTCTGTTAGAGGGTCGATGTCCTATTATTATTATTATTAAAAAAAATTTTTGACTTACTCTGGGCTGTCTGAGGTAATTTACTCATTGTTATGCAGATAAACAGTAACTTTCTCCTGCTTCTGAAATACAAATTTCTTCCAGTCTGATATGTTTTATGTATGGCACAATTCCAAAATCAACTTCTGCATGCCGAAATGCTAATGCAAGCCCCCTGGTGATCCTAGTTTTAAGCAGCTCAACATTTCTCTCTTCCACCATTTGACTGTAAAGAAAAAACTGAAAGAAGAACAGGACAGAAAAATGCCAACACTCTATTTAGCATTACTGTGAAAATGAGTGTTTAGTGTGGTATCAATCTTCTCATTTTCCAAAATGTTGAACTATTCCTTTAACATGGCGGCAGGGTCACAGTGGTTAAACTGTGCTCCTCCTCTAACTGTGACTGCAACACTATGTGTGATCTCTTTGGTACCATTTCAGTAAAAATCTATAAATACAGTGACAAGAGCACAATGATAATGGGGTTCAGTACTGTAATCACAGATAGCATAAACACACAGGACATTATGATTACACATGGTGTAGATGGATATTAGTGTTCAAAGTCACTTAGGGCCGAAAAAGACATCAATTCAAATTTAGAATGGGAAAATTTGAGGTGCAAAAACATGGACAGCATGCGTTATGATGTGAATACGATAAGAGGCAGGAGATACGGAGAATAGCAGACAGTACTCGTGCTACAGCGGTGAGAAGCGAGACATTACCTAAGTTGTTGCTGAAGCTTCAATGAGCTGTGAACAATATAAACAACCAAGCCAATGATGGTAAGCTTTCAATTTTAAATAGGAATGTTTGTTATGTTTTATTAGACACTTAACTCGCATAAAGGGATAAAGCACTTAGTTTGCTTACCTGTTAAATGGGAATGTGTCAACAACAGCATGCAGATCACAGGAATCTTAATGTAATCTAAGACGTACTTTTCTAAATGTGTGTCCTACAGTAGCACATTCCAGTCATAATGGACTACTTTAACTTCTGTGGGTTCATAGAAAGTTCATGAAAAAGAAGAAGAATCCCAAAAAGAAACCTCCGGTTGGTTAACAATTTATTCCATTAAAAGCAGTTCCAATCTTTCTTTTTTTACCCTTACCTCTATGTCAATCTCTGGCTGTACGATGATAGGGCAGATGGCTATGGGTCTGACAAGTCCTGATGTGGAGGTTCCTGCCTCCTCTGATGATGTAAAACAGATAAATATGCCGTGAGAGCCTGATTAGTCTGAATAGAGAAATAGCAATGACCTTGTCCAACAAAACAAAAAAATGATCTACATTTTATAACAACAGTAGATAAATAATTAAAGGGGCACTCCACCAATTTCCCATATGTAATTCAGTTTACTCGTCACAAGGAGGACTACTACTCAGCCTGTGAAAAGGTTGTAGTGTTTTCTGTGGCTCTGCAGGGAGGTTTGACAAGTCCAAGAGAAAAACCCTGATTACGTCTTCATGGTTATCTTAGTTTGGACTTGAGACTTGGGTAAGCCTGTATCTCAAACTGGGCATTTACATGAATCCGAAAATAAGGAAAAATGCTATTGAGATGCATTATGGGAAATGTAGGATCCAGTGTTTTCAGAGGCTGACTCACTAGATACTAAAAGTCAGGACATCTCTGCCTCTGCTGCACCAATGTTAACCATTTTAAATCTATCTCTTGTGAGCCTTATGAGACATTTTGGAAAAGCAATACTGAATCGCTGGAGTATAAATTCTACATCCTATGCAGTACCACCATATAGAGTTATGAATTATATTCATCTTTAAATATGTATGTCTTTTTTTTCTCAGATATTGAACCGATGTGTCAGTGGTGATTTTGTACGACAGCATCCATACTGTACCTTCTTCCTCTTCCCGCTCATCGTCCGAATCTAAATTATCGTGCATACTGAAAGAAAAGAGAGACATCTGGGTTATAAGATAATATAAAAAAAACACAAAACCACTCAATGGTACACTCTCTGAAACACAACCTAATGTCTTTACGAGTTTATACCTTTGAATACAAGGCAATTGAAACCTCAGAGATCTTAGGTTTAATATATAACCATTTTAATAACGGTGCAGTCCCTGAGGCCTAACAATGCACAGTGAAAATACTCAGTTTATAGAGTGGTGTGTATACAGTGTTTATCTGACTGAATTATGGAGAGATGCCCTAAGTGAGACCTATTAAAGAGAAATGCATTGATAAAGCGAGCTGAGGCTGAACAACAAGGCTGTGGATTTAAAGCCACGTCTTAGTTTACTCTGACAATTTTGTAATTTAAGATCATTTTGTGCATTAGATACAACATCTGAATCAGCTGACAAACGTGGTGCTCGTGTCTGAAAATAAATGATGCCATTTTGGGTCCAACGATGGACTGTTTAAATAGTAGTTCATGTATAAAGAAGGCAGATATTAAGAGGCAGAAGAAGGTGGTCATACGCCATCATTAACACCTGGATAATTAGCCTCATTTGCTGATGCAGTTCAGCTATTAATGGGCTGAATTAGTCATTTTAATCAAACATGGTTAGATATCTTTTTGTACTGTGTTGTATATTTTGTACGGTTCTGTTTGTGCCTTAAAGCCAAAAGCCTCAGTGATGACACATCTCATTAGAGGGTTTGTTAAAATAGGTGGCGAGGCGGGAAATTACTGAGTGAGATATTGTTGACTGATGATACAGGTCAGTGTAAAGTGCAGCCATAATATAAGCCAGTAGTAGTCTGTGGTGATAGGAATTACTGGATTAATTCAGCTAAATATCTTTATTTGGATATGTCCAATCACATAGAGTCCATGTCCGCCCATGATAGGTGTTTTCATATGTGGTTACATCAGATGCTAAATATTCATAAACTGATGGGAGAGTTGATCAAATATAGCCATGATACATTTTTAAATCGTCTGCAAAATAATGGAGCAGAGATGTTTTCTGTCAGGTGTCAGGTGACATCGTCAAGAGTCCTCCAAAGGTGCCAAATGAAATAAAGGTCAAGGAGTGTGACGAGCATGTGACAGGAGCTACGCAAATAGAGTAGGAATAACCTGACAAGCTGTTTATGTGCCCTGTCCTTAATGCACTTCCAGTTTTGTTTTGTTTTTATCAGAGGGGCAGATTTAAAATCTGACAGAGCACTCACAAATATCTTTGCATTATACACGTCTGGTGATGTGAAGCGATTACTTGCTAAGCTCTGCACACCCTGTTAACTTTTTTTAACAAGGTCTCAAGCTCTATCATGGCAAGCGCAGTATCCTTTGGAAGAATCGACTCCTGATTTCCGACAGAAGCAGAAACAAAGCTTTTCATTCTGCATATGAGGGTTATATTTGAGATGTCAGGTTGACAGACATCTAGTCCAACTTGATGTTGTAGAAAAAGCAGGCTTTGGTGCGGTTGTGTGGGCAGGTGTGTGAGTTACAGTATGAAAAAAATAAAAAGACAGGGTTGAGATACAGTTAACAAAAGACATTCTGTGAGCTGTAAAGCCTGATCTGGAGATTTTGTTCACATCACATTGCAAAACTCTAGACTGACTCAGCAGCAAGTTGATGCAAAAAAGATTACGACTGAGGCAGAACGCAGCAACCTCATTGCCTGGTGATCAAGACAGATGACATTCAAAACAAAGGGAAAGTTCCTGCTCTGGTCTCGCTATTCACTATCAGCTACAGCGCATTAATGTGTGATATCTATATTTGCCTGAGGTGGATACAGTTAAATATAAACTAAACCAGCAATAGAATTACTTCAAAGCAGAAACAGGAGCTGCTGTAAGTAAATCATATTAACATACACTGAGTAATACATTGTAGTGTCTAGACTTGTTTCATCCCATAGTAACCTTTCCTCCCACTGGCTGCTTTGTTAATGTGTTAAAATCCAATTATCAGTTAACTTCAAAGCACCTAATGAATCTGTGATGGGTGCTATGGTGGGGGTGCTGGCACAGTCTCTGCTTCCCAAATTCCTCCTTTTCAGTCAGTGACTCATCCATCCCTAACAACCCATCTGGCCCTTCCCACTTCCAAACAGCTACACCAATGAAGACCTACAATGACAACCACATCAGTTTATACCCTGGGTGCTCCTTTTATGGGTACTTATAAGCTTGGGGTGGGGTGGCTTTGCTGTTCTCTTCTGTCTCTGTGCACTGGGAGATCTGTCATGTACTTTCATGTGGATGTAACAATATATCAGGGAATTACTTGAGTGTAAGGGAGAAAAGAGGGGAGAGAAATTATTTGTTTGCCAACCTCTAACTACAACCACGAGGGAAGGAGGTCAGTCTGCATCATTGCTCTTCCACGATGACTGTGATTGAAAAGGTCAGAGGTAAATTTTAGTGCAGGGAAACGTCAAGGCTGAAAACGACACCTGCCCTTTGCCTATTTTGATCGTCCTCACCACTGGATGATTGGCATTCTGAAGGGGGTGTGTACTCTGAAGACGCCAGATTTTGAAGAGTAAAACCAGCCATCAACAAACTTTATGTACCCATAAGTAGGTAGATTAGACACTTCCCTCTTGCGCTCATTGTGCAACAGCCTGTGTAACTGTGTTTGATAACATCCTGCTTTACTTTAGACTTGAGTTCTTGTTTTGCTAAAGGCAGTCTCCAGGCAGAACTTCTGAATAAAGCTGAATGCTCATTTCAGCCACAATAACCTCACAGGGAATTAGTAAGCAACTGAAGTTCTGCAGCTGTTGCACAACACCTACTGTTGTCTTTGTTTACATCTGTCTCTTTTTGATTTGAATGCTAATGATGTGGACCCTATGCTGAAATTAGTCAAGATCTTAGTTTTCTGAATCTAAAAAGTTTCATTATTAAGAGATTATTGTGTCTTTGAGCATCCTAATTTGATAAAGATTGACAGTTTACAAGGCCTTTTAGCAGATTGAGGTTTAACGGCCTAAGATTAATATTTAGCTTCAATCTTTGCAGGTCAGAGGTCAAAGGAATCTCAGACAGTGACCAAAACATTGCACAAATGGCCTGTTAAATTTCTATCCCTCAGTCGGTGTCTGTCTAATGAAAGCACACATGTGACAGGTGATTTTTACCTGTAATTTTTCGGATGTCTCAGGATACTTTTCATTTGTTGCATGTTGACGTTTGTTTGAGGTGAATCATCTTCATAGGTCAGGAGCAGAGTCACCACATAATTCATAGAGGAGTTATTAGCCCAGAAATCACCATCAGATGTTTCATAGCGAACAACAAACTCAATGCGAGAGCCATGTGTGATGTAAGGTGGTGCAAAAGACAGCTTGAAGGAAAACTGATCAGTGTCCCCATCATTAGATTCCAGGACATAATCTGCTGGGTGATCAAAGTAAGTAGCCCAGTTGTCCATGGTCGATCTGATATAAACTGCTTTGTGGAAGGAGATGTTCAGGACTCGTATCAAACCACTGAAGGCAAGAGGCTCATCCTCCACTGGAGATATCTGCTCTACCTCCAGTTTATTAGTGTGCACAGCCTGCAGCAGGGCACTGCCGACAGGTGCGTTAAACTCTGGCAGCACTCGATAGGTCGGCTCTCGCTCTGGCTTGCGGTACTTTGCCTCCTCTTCCTCCCACCTCGCACTATCCTCTTCGTCGTCTGAATCAAAGGCAACAAACTCCTTCACATCCACCAGATCCCCACCTGTTGTATCGGCGAAAGACACTTTCTTTCCGTCAGACAGCGCCAAGTGGATCCGCATATACTCGGCAGTCTCGTCGTGGATGGACTGGCCTCGCTTTCTGGGCACCGGGGAGCATCTTGGGATGAGGCGGACATCCTCGGTGTCATCATCTTCATCCTCATCCTCGTCATCATCATTATTATCCTCGTCGTGCGTGGAGGACCTACTCTTTGCCTCCTCGTCTGACTTGTCAGTTTTAATCGTCTTAAAAAGCCCCTCTTGACTTGGTATGGTTAAAAAAGACATCTTTGAAGAAGTGTACACTCAAGGAAGCTGTGCGCTGAGGAGAGTACATATGGCGTCTCCAAAAAACAACAAACCACTCAAACCACTACCAAACAGCACACTCGTGATTTGCGCAGTAGTGGCCAGCGTAGATCCAGAGCTGTCCCTGCAATACGCACAGAGCCTCTTCAGTCAGCGTGTGGCGTTAAATGTCACCCATGGAAAAAACTTGTCTTTACTGCCAGCCCTTGTGATAGTGTATCCCCTGGTTTACATGACTTTATGCATCGCACTTTGGCTGCTGTAGCGGAAGGAGCCGTCTCTAATTTTAGCACTGACCTACCGGGATCTACATCCCCCAAATTTGTATTTTAAGTTGGTATAATCCTGCGACCCCCCCCCCCCCTGTTCTGTTTGGTTCAGGCTGGCTGAAGCCGCGGTGCATATGGGTTATTAAAGTCATATCATATTGGCCACTTGCCAGTTCTAGGAAGGCATGACACATTTTTAAACCCACGTATAGACATAGCGTAGGCTATTTAGGTACGGGCGACATGGGCAGCCGCATCTTGTCGGGGGCGGCAGGGCACTCGCAAAAAAAAAAAAAAAAGAATTTACATTTGCACATCACGTCAATGACGTCATGTCACCATGTAGATCAGAGCGGGCGCCCCTTCTTGTTTGTGCAGCTCCTGCTGAGAAGGTCTCCTCTCTCACTCTCAGAGGTGGTGGTCGACGAGGAGTGGGCGGGGGAATCTATCAAATAGCGCACTTCTATCTCTGTACAGGACCAATGCAATTGGTAAAATAGTCACCCCGGGAAAAACTACCAAATAAACCACAATTCATTCATGATACTGTGAAATCGTTAAGAATAATAAATTAGTCTGCACATCACCACCTGTGTGTGTGTCTTGTTTATATTGGTGTATAGCCTACATATATATATTGTTTTTATGTGTGTGTCATTTACTTATGTCAATAAACTAACGCGTAAAGTTGGAAAAGATTTGGATAGCCTCATAGTCTCCCGTTGCCTCATTCCATGTGAGGGTCTATTGAAAACAGCATGGATGTAAATAAACAAAATATTACTGTAAATATTTTTGACTAATTTCAATCAAGAGAACGTGAACAAAGTTCAAGAATAGATAATTCTTCGCAAAAATGTGCATGGAATCCTGCGCGCGCACAGTTTCATACGTGTGAAATTTTCGTATGCACTTTCCATCTTCGTGCGTAGCCTACGCCACGTTTCAGTGAGAATTCTACGCAAGGCTTTGGGACATGAGGCCCAAGGTGCCCTCCTCTGCCAGCTGAGCCACACCTGCTGCAGGTGACTCATATCCAGAGGCTGAGAAACGATCATCGCTGATGTGGTCTACAGAGAGAAGACGCCGACTTTCAACCTGGCGGCGTGGGATCGAACCCGAGCATGGACTAGAGGTACGTGACACAGGTGTGTGAGTGTGGGTGTATGTGAAAAGAGCAACAAAACAAAACAACAAAAACTGAACTCGACCGATAAAAATGTCAAACGCCGCGTTCACGAAACTCGTCCGTTCGCTTCGATTTCTCCGTGCGAATTTCCGAATTTCTACGATTTCCAACGTGGAGGAAACAGTACAGGTGGTATATCCAAGTGGGCCCTGGGTGCTAGCTAAGCTAGCTAGCTAGAGGGGTATTTTGGCTGCTTTTTTTCAGTTCACAACATCTGGGTTTCTGATATGGAGGACGAAAAATGTCTTTTAATTATTATAATTAATATCTTTATTATTATTATCCTCACCTGTCCTCACCCAATGACGGATTTAGATTAGATAAGGGCGACATGGGCAGCATTTTGTCAGGGGACTGGACAGGGCGTTTGGAAAAAAACAAAAAAACATTTGCGTGATAGTTTTCTATCTCATTTGCACATCAATTACAGCATGTCACCATGTAGGAGTGGGTGCCATTTCCAGTTTGCCCTCTCACTCTCAGAGGTGGTGGTAGATGGGGACGGGGCTGGGTGAGTTTGCACTACTTATACTTTATTTTGGTATTTATGATTGTGTATAATTGGTATTTACCATTTATTTGGTTTTGTTAATTTGGTACAAGAATATTTTCAGTAACATTTTAGCAGATCAATAATATCACAGGAATATTATTATAAAAATTTACAGAAATATTTTCACACTGCAGTGATTTTACACCCATCTGATTTATTATATTTGATTTATTAGAAATTATGTTTTGTTAAACAAATTATCATAGCTTTTAAAAACTAAAAGGTTATGATAATTTGTTTGATAGAAAGTTACAGTTTGTGCAGAATAATGTGTCTTGTCTTGTTGTAGCTGGGGCGGGGGGCTGAAGGGGATATTTGCCCAGGGCACCATACAAGCTAGAACCGCCACTGCCTATAGATGTCATCAGCAAACCTCTGCAGAGATAACAAGGTGGAAATGATTATTTCAGGATGGAGCCTGTTTCATCACCATAAGGCTGTCATGAATAATAGACAGGCCGCTGATTTAATTGTTATTGAATGTACAGAGGGGCCAAAAAGTCTGAAACCACTGATCTGTTTAACTGTTCAGTGTAGTTAAGGACAGGTGACTGTGGAGGAAAGTCCATGACAGTCAGGACTCCTTGGTCTTCTTTGGTAAGTTTGGTAAGTAACAAGTAGTTTGAGGTGTGTTTGACGTCATTATCCTGCTGCAGCATGAATCCTTCGCCACAAAGATGCTTAGTTTCTGATGCCATTTTTTCCACTATCACAATGCCACTTACTAAGCAATGATCTGCTGGCAACTTGAAGCACTGCACAGCCTTAATTATAGCAGGTTAACACTGGCTGCAAGTTACCTAAACGAGTCTCTGATGAATAGATGAAATCCACCCGAGTGTCATCTGAAGGCATGCTTCAAGGAAATATGACCTCAAAGGAGTTAATTTGGTCAGTGCCCCACATTTGCTTATATTTGATTGCTGACCTAGAAATAGTGCAGAATCTTAAATATTTCTACGTCATTTTACATGACATAAATTCTTGAATTTTTAAATGTTTCTGAATCCTTAAACGTTCTGATTATTCCCAGCTTTACATGAAAATATTATAGATTTTCAGTGCCTTCGGGGGCCCACTGTATATTTATGTTTTGCAATATGCAAGCCTAAATTATGCACAGGCAACACAACTAACACTAGACAAACATGATTAACCAGTCTATTTGTGAATTCATCTCATCACTAACAACGATATATGTAAGCCTGACATGAGCTCTCATTGATACCAAAATTATTTTTATAGGGCCTCACCTTTTTTGCCAGTCTTTCTCATACATAAGGCATAAAGTAAGGTTTCCCAATTTCATTTAATGGCACTACCAAAAGCACTTACTTCACTTACTTATTACTACGGTATGTTAGAAGCTATGCCGTTTTAAGTATTAAAAAAAGATGACTGAGAGGGGAAAAAACAATCTGTACAAGCTTGACTGAGAGGCTATTTATAGTTGTGTGCGTCCTTTTCTGGGAATAAAGCATTCCTATTATGCTATCTAAACCATCACAATGGCAGCTGTTAACGCCTACCTCCTCCATTGAATTTATGCACGAAGCCAAGTCCTTGTTTACATTTGGCTTGACGTCTTCAGCCATGTGTGTAATTAATTACAATTTTCCTACATTTTAATATCGCCTGATCAAAGAGTAACCCCTAAGAGAGAGAGCTAAAAATAGTGTTGAAGTCACGTAACTTGCAGTCTGTTTTGCTGTTGTAGAGTAAACGTATAAAATATATTTTACATTTCTCGAGGTTGTGATTTTCTGCTGCACTTGCTGCTGCGCAGTTAAACCGCTGCTACAGACAGATCACCATGTAAACACACCCTTATAAATGATTGGTGGAGAGGTTTTAGCGCGGCGTACCGTAGCCAATCAGAGGATTGTTTTCCTTTCACGTCGGTGCACGGATAGTAAGCTAACGGATAATGCAAACACAAACTAAAATAAACAACGCAGATTGTCCCTAAAGACGGTATAGCACGGGAAGGTTTTACTATTTGTGCCGACTCTTTCTTGTTGGACTATTATTCGTGGAAATGTGATGCAGCCATCGCTGCGAGGACACACGCATTGGGTAACGTGAGCTAACTGACGTTAGCAATAGCCTGCTAATTGTTAACGTTCCGCAAGGCCGCGGAGACATAGGAGTGCTGCTTCCTCCTCCAGCTTCACTGAGAATGTAGGTAACATTACGACCCAAGGAACAAAATTACAACTAACTAACTAGCTAGTTCTGTTGAGTATTCGATTGCATTTACGTTTGTTTTAGCTGAGCTTGCGGGCTACCTAGCTTGTTAGCTATTTGGCTAGCTAGCTAGCATGAGTGAACTGACGGACTGCAAACAGTCCGCTGACTCTGCATCGAGGAAACGGTGTCCATCACCCAGCCAGGATGAAGGCAGCACGATTCCCAGCAAGTCCTCAAAAGTAAGTGACGCATTAAATGAAGCCGGGGTTACTTCGGAAAGTCGCAAAAACAGTGAAGCTGAGAGTAAAGAAGCAGCTGAGAGCGAGGGCCAGTCAAAAGATAGCTTGGAAGAACCAGCTGCCGTGCAAGCGTTTAAGGGTTCAGTTAGCACGGGTGGTACTAGTACATTTCCTGTCAACAACTCCAATGCTGACGGTCACGATGCCAGCAACAACGATAAACCACAGTCCTCAGGTGCACATGGATTTGCTGACGCAAAGGAAGTTGGAGAGAAGACAGCAGGATCAGAGCGGCGTCCCATTGCTCCTCTGGACCAGTCCGACTCAGCAGCCATAGCAGCTGCTGAAGCTCTCGCCAGTCTCACAGGGGGAGACGGTGAAGACAGTCAAGAGACTCCTTGCTCATCTGAAAAAGCTAAACAGGTTAAACAGGGGAGTAAATTCAAACAACGTGGGGGCCAGCATTCCTCCAAAACAGGCTCTAAAACGCAGGCAGCTGCAGCAGATAGCTCCACATCTGTGCACAGTACTGATAGAGAAGATGCAGATGATGTGCCTGAAGCAGATGAAGGTGATGAATCCATATCTGGATCTTCGTCCACGCCAAGCTCCTCTTTCCCATCAGACAATGAGGACAACGATGATGGGGAGTGTGCCATTGTGTCAGTTAAGATGGCCCCTGAGATGAGACAATCAGTGGCTCTCCTGGCACAGGTACAGATGAGACTGGAAGCCCTTGAGAAGAAAAGCGCCCGGCTTCATCAACGGCTGGAGCTGAAGATTAGTCGTCAGCGGCGCCCACATCTGGATCAGCGTAGCTCCATTACAAAAACCATCCCTGGCTTCTGGGTGACAGCTGTATCCTTAAAATGAAAAATGTCCTTCTTTCTCCATTCCTGCTTTGTGTTTGAGTGTTTAAAATGAACATATAATGGGTCTTTTCTTAACTTGAATATACCAGCTGTTGAACCATCCTCATCTTTCAGCTCACATTGACGAGACTGATGAAGATGCTCTTAGTTACATGACTGATCTTGAGGTAGGAAGTGTTGATGTTTGTTCTTACAAAGTCTGGCTGTTGTATATGCCTAGTAGCATAACTCAGACTTTTCCTTGTGCCTTTACCAGATCGAGTCTTTCAAGAATAACAAACTGGGCTACAGGATTCGCTTCCACTTCAGACGGAACCCATATTTCCAGAACAACATCATCATGAAGGAGCTGCACCTTGGGATGGGAGGTAAAAATGAGCATGTGGTGATAAAGTCATTTATATGTACATAGTTCTCATTCTCAATGAATGCATAGTGTTATCATAGTCAGACTTTGCATCTTGGCACTATTAATTCATTGTGTACAGGGGATAATCTGAATTCTGTACCAAAACCAAAATATTGTCATTTGCTACACACAGTTTGTTTTTTATTTGGTATTAGAAAGCGGCAAACCCATCTAAAACAATAAATTCCAACCAGAGGACATTAGGTCATATTTTGGAGTAAGAAAGTTAAATGGCAACACATTTCAGGGAACAACTATTAAAAAGTGCTGAGCGTGAAGAGCAGCTTGCCAGAAAACTGAGGAAGTTGGATTGCACTTGTTAACTTCACACCCACAATCGTCTAACAATGTAGCTGTACAGTAAAAGCAGCAAATAGAGGATGTTGTGAGAATATTTTAGTTGCTATTGCACAAACTATGGTCTCAAAGTGATTTATATGCTAATGTAAAGTAGCATATAAACTCATGTAAATTTTTATGTGATCATACACCTAACTTGATTAGCAGTGAGTATAAGAGGACAGTGTTTTATTACAGACACATAATATCAATCCCCTGTTTGCAATGACAAACAAGTGGTAATTACAATTTGAACTGTGCAGCAAAACCTAATATTTTGTCTCTCAAACTGATAGAGCAAGCTCTGACAGTACTTTTCATCTAAGGATGAGTTTTCGTTGTAATTTGAGGCTTCCTAAAAGCAACACGTCCTTTAGTTTCTAGGTCACCTTCTAATCCTGGGTGCTCATGTTTTCAGGATCCCCCATGTCCTTCTCCAACCCCATCCTATGGCATCGTGGACAAAATCTGACAGCCCACAGCGAACCCAGGAAATCGACACGTGGGGTCTATCAGACCTTTTTCAGCTGGTTCAGTGACCATAGCAACCCAGGACAAGATGATGTAGCACAGGTACAGATGACTGCATCCTCATACCAACATGGGCTCATGACAGTAGCGCACAGAGATCAGCAGGTTAACACTGCCATATTTAGAGGTTTGATTTGTTACCATTTTAAACAGTGTACTACTCCGGTGACATGTATTTTGTCAGTTTTATTATGATATGTAACATTTATGCCACTAGACAACAATTAATTGCACCCTTTATATGCCAGATGTGTGCTTGATGTTTTACTATTGCTACATACCCAACATTAGCATTAACAGCTGTTTACTCACTAGTTTAAAAGAAACATTGAGAGTTCAGCATCAACCTTCATTCCTTTACTCGCCAAGAGCTGTCTTCTATTTCTATCACTTCTTTTCCTCTACTGAAGTTAGCATGCTAACTAGCTAGTTTCAGCCTGTTCGGACCGTCGCGTCACTTTTCCGATATCGAGTCACTGTAGCGTCCAGTCTGCCCTGAAGAAGTACCGCTGCTCAGAGGACCTATTCTAACCTCTTGTATTGTAAATGCAACGATGGCTGAGGCTCTTGGCAAGACTGGTAAGTAAACAGCTGTTAATGCTAACGCTGGCCATGTAGCAATAGCTACACTTACAAACAACTCTTTTAAAGTCTGAATGGTTTAACAAAATGTAATTATTTCTTCATTTATTCAACTTTCGTGTTAGTTTATGATTAACAAACGATTCAGGAATATGCACAGATTCAGATTTTGTAATCACAAATAATAGAAAAAAAATTTTAAGGAATACAATTATGACACTTTTACCATATGTGCTACATGATACTCATACCTTTGTCTCGGTTTAGCAGGACTATGTATCGTGTATTACAACACTTAAAGAGAGCACATGCTCCAAACATATTTATTTATTTATTTGGATCCCCTTTAGCCACTACCAAGGTAGCAACTACTCTTCCTGGGGTCCACTCTGATTTCAATATACAGTGTTTTGCATTATGATGAAATTTTTACTTGAGTTTGCAGAAAGACAAAAAAATGTGAATGTATTGAAATAATCTCTGTTCTGATGTTTAGATACTTAAAGACGACCTGTACAGAGATCCACTGAGATATTACCTCACTCCACTCTGGGAACCGAGGGAGAATGGCAGGTACAACAAACACATTGTCATAGCTGTGTACATAAGGTGTAGTAACCGGGACAAACCACTAATTAAGCTATAAATTCTAGAAATATTCTCAGCCCCAGGGCGTTGAAATTATAGTTCATGTGAAAACTTTAACAGTTTCCTGACATTTTTTTCCCTGCTGGTGAAACCAGGTGGGATGCATACCGAAACAATGAGTGTGTTTACTGAACGTATGTATTTACATTTTTTTCTCCAGTAGTGGCAGCGGGACTAGAGCAGCTGACAATGGTAACGGTGATGAGTGTGTGGTAATATCCGACTCAGATGATGAGCCTGGTGAGGAGACTGGTGAGGCTGAGCAAGGCCACAGTAGGGAGGAGGAGGAAGATGATGAAGAGGAGGAAGAAGAAGAAGAAGAGGAGGAGGAGGAGGACAGGGGGCCAAGCGCAGGTCAGTGGTATAGTAGAACTTAAAAAGACAGCTAAAACCCCAAATTATACAGATACACATTTCTTGCATTGCATTTGATTTTATACAGAAATTATTTTAGCTTTTAACATACTTTGAAAGTTAGATGTCAGCAGATAGCTGTTGTAAAATGATTCTGTGTGTAAAATCCACAGTATTTGCTGTTGTTGCTCGTGTTGTGAATGAGAGGCCCAGGGCTTGTTAGCATCAAGCTGACTTGGTTGTGCTGTAGCTGAAATATAAATGTTTGAGTAATGCAGGCTAAACTGATTAGACTGAAAATATCTCCTCCTCAGATGAGAGCCCAGGGGAGGAGGATGATGGTGGAGAAATTGTGATCGACGGTAAGACACGACTCTCAACAGCAGCGTTGCAAATTCACCACGATCACAAACAACCAAACAAAGGGATAACAGTTCATGGTTTTCATATTTTCTACTTTTTGATTTCTGATTATCTTGTGTGTGTGTGTGTTTGTCTTTGTCTTTGAGGAGTAATTACAACCTTACCTTGAAATTATAGTTGTCTTACTTTTGTCCTGTAGGCTCTGATGACAGTGACCAGGAGGAGGAGGAGGAGGAGGAGGAGGAGGAGGCCTAAGAAGAAGTGAGGAGGAGAAGGTGGTATATGTGGAAGAAGGCGAGTCATCAAGGGACCAGAGACCAGGAAGATGAAGAGGATGCTGAGGTTGACTAAGAGTACCAGAGCAAACATTGAATCCTTCTTCCTGATGTTAGTCATTTTTATGCACAGAATATCAGTTTTTGGTTTTTTTATACCTAAAATACATAGAAGCATTTTAAATCAGGGTTCACTGTAATAATAAAGCCAAGGCAGCACGTCTCCCCTCTATTTTTTACATTCGGTACTGTGTATTCTGATGTACTCTCACCTTTTTTGCAAAAATTTGTTTTTTTTTTTCTACAACAGCTTCACACAAGTAGTGTTCTTCTATTTAACGAAGAACATAGAATGACAGCCTACACATACACACACACGCGTAGGTTAGATTTTGATTGCCGCTACTTGCTGGCATTAAATCTTGCATTTGCAAATCCTTCAAACGAATAACACTGAAACCTTCCGAGGCATTATTAGTGGTCATTTCAAGACAAAGTTTTGGCTGTTTTTAGAATTGACATGTGGTGAGGCCAACGTGTCACAAGCTGAAATTGATATAATGACAGTACATTTCAGATGCACTGAGTACTGAACCAAAATTTGTTCTCAGGGATGATCATGGTGGTAGTTTTATTGAAAGAACTTTACTGATTCTCAGACATTTACACTCTCTGGTTATTGTTGGCTGTGTATAAGGAAACGTGTACTCTACTGTAGTAAATAGGAACAGATATTGTTTTAATATAATACCTGTGTTTTCCCCTCCTCTATGTTCAGTCTTGTTATACACCATCCTCCAGCCCTCTTAACAATCTGTAAACCATCTCTGATGTTTAAAATCATTGCGTAGTTTGATCAATGTTTCTGTGGATTCCTACATTTTTGTAACACACTCCTACAATAAGTGGCTGAGTTTTGTATTTTTTTTTCTTTTCTTCTTAAATTGTAACTTAATTTGAATTTGCTTTCTAAATCATTTAAGGTTTGTTTTTGTGTTATGTGTATTAGGATTTGTTATCCTCTTTTTAAAAAGATGATATTTATTACGTTGTTTTTCTACACGTCCACATCATGGCATGCCTGTGAGCATGAAATATAAGTCAGGATGATTACATTACTTACAAGGCTGTCTAGAGGAAATAATTTGCGGTGCACAGTTGTCGAGTAAATGTCTTTTAATTCACAGAAACATTATGGGGTGCACTGTAACAGAACTAGTATTTGTATTTGCTTACTTTTCTTAGCAATGAACCTGTAAATAATATTTCAGCATTGTCTTTTGGATAAGACAGTACACATGTTTAATCCATGGATAAATTTATCAAATAATCTGGAGTTTTTTCATAAAACATGATCAGAAAGTTATATTTTGTGTGCTGTGTTTTATAGAACACTGTAGTTTAAAGAGACCTAATTGTTTGTTGCTTTGGTTAATTTTGTTTGCTTGAAGATAAATGTCCACCTTTTGACTTAGACCTAATAAAAAATAGGCAGTTGTTTCACTTTTGCTGTCTGTTGGTGCATTTACATACACTGTAGCTTACATATACTGTAAACTACATTTGTATATTCTCTCTAAAGTGAATTGCAATTTGCCACAAGATGGCAGTGTAGCTCAACTTACTCTCACACCTCTTGTTAGACTTGAAGGTGTTAATTTTGGTTATGTGTGAAAACAGAATGTCCTAAAGTGCATTAAATACTTGAGTACCAGTATTTAAACATTCACATCTGCAGAAATTAGAAGGAAAAAAAAGCTCAATCTTGCCTTTACTCAGCTGTTTCAAATCTTCAGCTCTAATAACAAAGCACATGTGTGACATATTTACATAAAAGTCACCTCTCACATGTTTGGCTGCAGCGTGCTCTTGAAGGAAAGAATCAAACAAAACCCGCAGAGATACAGCTGTTCTTTAATGTATTCCATCTCTGATATGACAGCAGTGTGTGATATCACTGACATTTTGAATGTACCACTGCAAATAGCCCTGGGCAAGACATTTTTGGACAGGCCCAGACAAAGGAACAGCAGTGGTGTTGCAATGGTACACTTAAACCCTTGATTCCACTTTTAATGCACAGCTATAAATATTCCTCTAGCAAAAACCTGTCCTGCTGTGGGCCCAGCAGCACCCAGGGTATGCAATCTAGGATGGGCATATACTATTAATACTGATGATGGAAACACATTATACCCCGTGAAATGATCCCAAGTGAAACACAGTGTTTGTCTCCTCTTTGAAGCGGCTTTATTCAGCCTACCTCAGAGCGCAATGTTTTTATAACTATGAATTAATAATGGGCTTGGTTCCTACAATATTGATCGTGACAAACTAAGTACAGATTGCTGGGACAACAGAACTGTCCTCGGGCTGCTTTGTGGTCTGAGGGTTGTCTGTGAAGCCTTTGTTATGTATGCGGTGGCAAAACCCTAAATGGATTCCCCACTGTAAACTACACTCCCCTGGGTTGAGCTGGTGTTGCTACTGTACACAAATCATCTTGTCATGCTGCTTCATGCTCTCACGTTTCACAAAGTAGTTTGTTGGAATCCGCTACTCAGACTGATTCACTGTAGACTGAAAAATGAAAAGATAACACACACAGGCTCATTCTTCATCTGTGTGACTGATGTCGGGAGTGTAAACGAAAAAGGGCTTGTGCTGCTTTCTATAGCGAGTAATGTGAGAGATTGAGGTAGTGCCCCTGAATACCAACTACCTGTCTGCGTATGTGTGTGTGCGTGTGTGTGTGTGTATGGTGTGCGTGTGTGTGTGTGTGTTTCTGCACATGTGTACATGCTTGGTGGTTTTGTGAAAGCTTGCATTCTTTCCTGCACCTCCATGCATGCATGCACATTTGCAGAAGCTGCGTGTCACACACGCATTTGCAGCTTTTGTGCACGTACGCGTGATCGTCAGCTTGTCGGCTAATCAAGATGAAGCACAGCATTTGAACTGTGCAGAGGGGAAAACAGAGAGGGATGGGGAAAGAGAATAGAGTGAGCATGATTGAGGGAAATGGATGAGTGCAGTGATAAGCAGAGCTGCCTGGGTCCTGACAGATACACACAGCAGATGGATGACTCTTATCTGGGAGATCACAGAGTGCATACTCGCGCCTAGGCCCAGTTACAGAGAGCCACGATCACACCAGACAGATGAATAGGCCTGCCCCCCACCAATCACACTGCACATACTGTACACACATGCACATGAGCGCACGCACACACCTACACACATAACCACTTGACAGAGTGAACAGATTGCAGAGCTTGCGTTACCTTCCTGTCTTTGACATTGAAATTCACCTGGAGTCCGGTGTCTCAAGGATGTGCGCAAGAGAGAGGAGAGAGCAAGGGTAGGGAGAGAGAAATAAGATAAATCAATTTAATTCTAATCCAAGCAGCAGAGCAAGTGCATGTGTGTTTGTGCATATTGCACACACTATACATGTATGTTGGCATACAATTTTGTCTGCCAGCGAGAGAGCCACATGCACTCTATTCTCACTTCTTTCAGCATGACAGATTTTTTCCCCTGATTTTCTGAGCACAAACAATGTCTGTCATAGAAGTTAAGATGGAGCTGAAGTCACACACGCTCAGAACAGAAAAAAACATTTGGGACTATTTGCACTGGGACACTTAATCGTTAACTGGCAATTACCAAAGGCTTGTGCGAGAGTGCTGACAGATTTACCTTTTAAGACACTGTACTCTCATCTGCCTCACATCCTCACCATCCTCCCTTTTCGTGTGCACGAGCTCTCACTCCCTCCCAACACACACCCCTTGTTGTATGGAAGGAGCTCTTCTTCAACAGCTGTTGATACTCCCAGCTGCATTTTATAGCAAGGGAGAGTGCCAGTCTCGTCTTCAAGGCAGATGGTGGCTGACTGGATGGTTGGCTGGCTGGCCGGCCTGGTGGACACGTGGCATGTTGGACGACTGCAGACGGTGCTCCATCTCATGGGGAAGCTGCAGTTACGGTATGCCTGTGCTGCGTTCTCTATAAAAACCTGCAATCACCTTACTTCCAATACAGAGTGAGGCGAGCAGGCTGCGACTGGAATGTGCGCCACGTACGCGCCCTTCATGTCAAAGATGTTTTCCAAAGTTGCTCTCCTTTGATAATCATTGGTGTGTGAAGTTGGTAGATGACACACGCCGCACCTGTTCCCTTATCTTACATTTTGATGTTTACATTTTTTTCCGACCTGTAAGATAATAATTAGAGGACTTGTAAAGTCATGTGAGAGGAGCCGTGGTTGGAAATAGAGAGCAAATAATCCTGGTGAATACTGTACCTTTATTTTCTCTACCCTATAATTTCCTCTCAAGGTCATGGTAGTCTATGGTGACGCCCTGGACTCTCTGTAGCAGGCATGTTCAAACACTCTTCGATTCATCAATACACTGTAGGAAAGACCATCAGTGGGTCAAATAATGGGTTGCTTTTCCTCGAGGGGACAATACCCTGCCCTTAGTATTGTCATGATTGATGTGTCTGGGGGCCCCAGGATTCATCAGCCTTGGGTTGGCCTACAGGGATAAACGTCTACCTCACTTTTCAGTTTACCTATCCATTAGACGAAAAGATCCTCCTGACAGGGCCCTTTGTGGTCCAAGAAAACACACTCTGTGTTTGTTTTCTAATCCACAATGTCTGTCTTCATGATACAAAATCCATCCATCACATATCCATCCATCATATTGGAGGTAACGGGCCTCTTCAACCACTATTTCCTGCTCCTTTTACTTACATAAATGGAGCAAAAAAAAAAAAAAAAAACCCTTCTAATGGCGAGTAAAGAGCTGTTGCTATCTGTAGCATGTTGAGGCAGTAGTGGGTGCATGCTGGTCAGATAAGACCCGGGCTGGAGGATGGTTCAGTGACAGATATGGATGACGTTAGTAGGTGCTTATGAAGCGCTGGGAGCTGGTCAGTGTCCGCGTGTCCATGGTCAAAGTTGAGCGCACACGGAAACTTGAACTTAGCACACACTCGTGACTCATTTCCTCAGCTGGAAACAGTGGGATGCGTCCTGTGGGGTGGGAAACAAAGACTCCCTCCTGGACACATCTTTGACACGTCACTGCTGGTACATCACATCTGGCTGATACCCAACTTGAGATAAGGTCGTTGCTTACATACTCTGCCTGTGCGCAACAATGAATCCAACCCAAGAATGTGCGTTAAAGATAAGTTCAGAAAGTTAGCTTTTTAAAGCCTGTCTTTGGATTGCCTGGGACTGCCCTCCTCTGTGACCTTTTCCAGACTGGCACACTACATCACCTCATGTGTTTAATTTATTTTACTGTCTCGCAGGGCCATTGCTCAGAATACATTCACCCTCTGCTTTTGTGGTTCTACCGCGTCACAGCTCACCACAAAGCCAGTAAGGCTGAGAGGCGCTCTAAAAGCTGTTTTAATTTCAAGCTCAAAGCTCTTTTAACAGGATGGATGTCCTTTACATCCAGTGCCCCCCCCACCCACCCACTCTGGTTGCTTTGTCACCGTTGTCATGAGCGCTGGAGCCAGCCACACAGGAATCTAAGGAATCTTTTTCGCCTGACCTGGCTCTCATGTAGAGCTAAAGAGTAATGGTGACATGGTCCAAGTAGCAGACCTCCTCTCCCTCTGCTCCTCTTTAATAGTGAATTTCAGCCCCTGCATCATGTATTAAGAATAGTCTCTAGCCCTTCCCAGTGCATGAGAAAAACATTCATATAAAACTGTGGCTGCACGCCCATCACCATTTAACTGAATTATTCAGGTTAAATAAACTTCGCCAGGAGAAAATGACTGAGCTGAACAACAGTTCACAGCAGAGTGGAGCAGTGTGCTGAACTTACCAGCAGTGACAGGGTTAATCATACCCATATGGTGTACCAAGAGGTTTGGTCCAATGCTGCTGTGGGCCAACAGGAGAGGGAAGGCTGGGTGGGGGCAGAACAGAAGGGAGAGGACAGCGGGGCAGACATTCTCCCAACACCTGCACCTGGTCACTAGATTCACACTCAAACAGCCTCAAACTCCCTTTTAAAGGATCCGCGGACACAACATCCTGCTCGCATCACGGTGATGGTCGCTGCCTTCCAGGCGTAAACTTTTGGATAGAGTGGAACAAGCGTTCAGGGATCAGCTGTGTGTTTTCCCCTTTTTCTTTTAATGTTTCATGGAAGAAATGCAGTCGGTTCTGGCGACTGATTAGACAGCGTTTTATTTATTTTTTCTTCTCTGGGGGAATTTGCAAACCTATCGGATTGTTTTGTGCCTGCGCAGTGCTGCTGAGAGAGATTTTTCCAATCCAGCTCCGAGGCGCAAAACGCGGGGAATGCAGCGGTAACATCCCGCAAGTTTTGGATCAGAGAGGCTCAGCGGCTGTCGAGACACTCAGAAAATCAAAGGTAGGACATTTAACTTCTCTCCGGTTTAACTTTTAACTCATGTTTAGTTACTCTGTATGGCAGTCTGAATGGAAGGTGACTGAAGTGCACACATTTGTTCGGTTCCTATTTCTGGATGTTGAGTTCACAGGTAAGTGCGCACTCCTCAGCGGAAAAAAAAACTAGGTTATAGAAATCCTATAATTATTTTTTAAAGGGGAAACCATATATTATTACATCAGAACTTTACTCTGTCCTGTCGTTACCACCCACCACAGAAAACCAGCAGAAACACCGTCATTCATGCAAAACTATACAATCAGGCCATCACACACACACACACACACACACACACACATATACAGCCCCTCAGGCACAGTATAATGTTTTAGTCATATTTTCTAAATGTCGATTTTAGATATCTAAAAGATATTTCAATTGGAATACTTACCTTTACATTCTTTTGACATAGATCTGACATAGATTCACCAGGCCATGGATATTTTGCCTATTGTTTAATCATTAAAAAAAAAAAAAAAAAAAATCAAGTAGGGGCTGAAAAAGTGTCTGTGGTGTTCATATTGCCATATGCCCTTTTTAACATGATTAGTTGAATAACATTTTATTCAAATGTAAATGTATTTATGTAATTTATATGAAGTCAAAGTGATCCGGAGCTGTTTTAATGAGTGATTCTTTTTATGCTGATTAATACCTGTGAATCATCATGGCAAAAAAAAGAAAAAAGAAAAGCATGTCCATATCATTTTGATTACACATCTCATGGTGCTTACATTCTATGAACAGCACTTCTACAGTGTTTTATAAGAGGAACAGAGATCAAGCCTCCCTGGTGAGAAGATATATGGCAACTGTGTGATTATGCCAGGAAGCCATGTGAGGCGTTTCCAATGGCTTCTGTTTTTAATTTCCAAATGCTCACCAAGCCAGTCGCTGCAGTTTCATCAGAATGTTCAGATTTTTCATGGGGACATATTTTTTTTTTACAGAATGTGTCACACGTGAATATTATTGTGAAATACAATGAACATTTTGTGAAATCTCACTAGTTTTTCCCCATGAATACCTCTCCCTAAAAGCCTTGTACCGTGTGCCACCAGAGGCCTTGCCTACATGGATGTCATGAGAAAAAAGGAAAAGCCCGTGGGATGGCTTATAGCCTGAGCAAAGCACACCTTCAGGGAGACAATTTAATGGATGTTATGGACTCAGCTTTTAGTATTCATAATTTATATGGGATCCTCTCCAGCAAAGTGCAGATACATAATGAATGCAGAGTTAAGGTCTAACAGTTAGGCTACGTTTCAACACCCCTAAACTGTCAGAGATGGTTTCAGCGACGACTACCTGTTTCTTTGAACTGTCATGTATTTCACTCGTCAACTTCTGAAAGTACGTAGACGTGCTTTGTTGAAAGACGGAGAGAGAGGCAGAGGGAATCACTGATGGGCATCGCGGTCTTGTTTTCATACAGCTTTCTATGAAAATGTGGATGAATTATGTACTTTAAGAAAATATAACATGTTTAATAAAATGTACAAGATGATGACAAAATGACATTGAACTTGTTTTTCAGACTTTTTTCCATGTGACTGTGCTTGCAAATAACATTATAGAGTCTTAACACATACCTCACTACATTTACACTTTAAATAAATAATAGGGCTGTCATATTTTCCAGAGCAGGTGTGAAGATTTTGGACGTTGTTCTCTCCTGCCAGACTATACCTCTCGCCTTGGAAGGCTTCAGGCCAAACTTCTGATCAGAGAGATCAGAGAGAGAAAGAGAGAGAGAGAGTCTCTTGCCTGTCCTTCCTTCTTTTTCTGTCTCGTATTTCTCATGGGGCACTCTATAATAATAGTTCACTCCTCTTTCTTTTTTTGTCCAGATTTAGATCTCTGTGGGCTACCTGCATGACTGTTACCATGACAGCATCTGGAGCCCAACTCCTCCTGTTAGCCTTGTGTGTTTACAGAGGCTCGGGCCTGCAGCAGTCTGCTCCCAGGGTTCGCCTCTCCTTCAAAGGTGAGCTCATACAGATTAACCAAAACTCCCTCTGACAGCAGGGATTGCCATAATAGTTTCTTTTACTTGGATGGTGTCTCCCACTAAGTCACACAAACTCACGCACACACCCACACACGTATCCACACCACCGGTTATGTTTCCTCTTCATACATATGTAAAGAACGTATTTCCTGCCACATGTCAAACAGTGCGACGCTGAAAACAAAAGGTGGATATTACGTGTGGTTGGTCACTGGTAGTGCCCTTCGACAAAATTTCTTCCCACACCCTAAACCCTCACGCACACTAGTCTGACCTGTCAGTTCTTCTTTGTTTTTGATGTCTGACACGGTGACACAAAAAGGAAACACCTGAAATCTGATCAGAAGAGCAAAGTGATATTTTAGAAGCGTAATGTTTTGCCTGCGAGGTGTAGATTCATGAAGGGACAGTGTTTTCAAATCCTTTTTTTGTGGGCTTTTTGGGATTTTCCCTGTCATCATTTACTCTAATAGTGAAGATTCATGTTACAGATGTGTGGATGACACCTTTGATCAAAACAATGCTGGATGATTACAGTTATTTCTGCATCTCTATCATGTCACTTCAAGTGCACCTGTGCATGTGGACGTGTACACTCACAAAAACACCCCCACGTCACACCTGAAGTACCTGTAAGTGAGAATTAGAGGTTGGAATCAGATTTTATAACATTCCTCAGCTCTTTGATGTGGAGGTGATTCAAAGCGCTCTGGTCCCGGGTCAGGTCTAGGCGGAGTAGACGTATCTCTGTCTTATCTTTTTTCTTTTTTTTTTGAACTTCCATAATTTAATGAGAAACATTTATGATTTTGTACATTGTAAACAAGAGACATCTGAAGCAGATTAGAGGTGAGCTATCATGAGGTCTGTGCTTAATATTTTCTGGCAGTCGTCATGCAGTGTTGTTCTGAATACAGAAAATTTTGTACGACTGAAAACAGCTGTGTACATGCAGTTGATGGTTGTTGTATACAGCGATCATTCCATTTGAGGCTTGAGAGGGTAATTGCAGTGCATTTTTATATGACCTTTAACACTAATACCCTTTCGGTAAACAGCTTATACACGCCAGTGCGTTTTCTTTTTTCTTTTTTTTTTTTTGCAGCAGGGTGCATAAAGTAACAGTCTGACCAATTACACAAGTTTGGTCTTGAACTTTATCATGTTCCTTCCTGTGTAGAATTCAGGAATTCACATTTGTACAGAGCTCTTCATGAGAGATTCATACACCGGAGCTTGTGTAAAACAGCTGAGAGGTGTTGAATTATTAGATTGTTGGTGAGCTCCTACAGGCCCCCGGTCACCCTTCCCCCTAATGCCAAACAAAAAGGAGAAAAGTTGGATTTACTCCCCAACTGTTTTCTGCCACTCCAAGGTTTTATTGTTCATTGTTTGTGACAGCGAGTCTCTTTGTTCCCTGAGGCGCCTGTGGAGGAGGTTTTGGGGCGGCTGGAGGACATGTGACTCCTGTGAGCGAATGAACCGGCCATAGTGACACTCTGGGGTGCAGGAGGCCTGCAGAGGATAGAGATCTCGTATTGTTTCCTCTGTCGCTGGGAAGTTGTGTCAGTTGTGCGCACTTCAAAGGGATTGACTGAGTCTCATTTGATAGAATTAGTCAGCATTGCTAGAGAGCAAAATGTGCAGTGTAATCGAGCCCATGTTTTAGGACCCCATGCCCTCATGGTGCTGTCACCAGTTTGTTCATGCTTGAGATAGGGCTGGGACTAAACAGCAATGGGTCATTAGTGCCTTAGTGACAATATGTTGTCAGGTTGTAACATGAGAGCTTATAGTGGCCCAGCTGAAGCTCCATACTTGAATCGTATGTCCTTCCCAGTGTTTCCCTATCAGTGTCAGAATGTTGTCAGGGGATAAGTGTTTGCTGAATGTTTACCAGATGATGGCAGTACATTGTTTGCTATTTTTGGAGAATGGAGACATGTATAGGGGTGTGGTGTTTCTACATTTAGCCTCTTCAGTGAATCCACTATGGCCCAGTGGAGCTCGGCCAGAGGCTTGTTATCCTGTGTTTACCTCTCAGGAGCAGAACCGGGCCTTGTCCCACCTCGGAGGCTCCATCCCGTGTCGCCCGGAGATCCGATTGCATCGCTTATTTTAGTGGCACCTTGACTGCATCCTGTTAACATTGACCTCAAAAGGAAGATGGCAGGCCCTTTGATGTAAATAAAGATTGCGCTTCCTCTCGAATCCCTGTAAGCCGGCTTCTGAGGGTCTGTGTGAACATTTGTCATTATATAAGCCTGCTGTCTTTAACATGCCTCCACCATGTCGCAGTGTGCACATATGGTTGTCAATATCTTGCACACACCACAGATGTGTGTGAGTGTGTGTTGTTTTTTTATGTGTGTAAAATGATGCAATGAATTTTTTGGATGGCAGAATGGAAAAAAAAAAAAAAAAATCACACTCAGAGGCGGAGTGCTGTACAGAGTCCATTTGTCTCGCAGCAGATGAAAATTGTTCAATCAAAGCTTTCAAGAGAACAAAAAAAAAAAAAAGGAGAAACATTTTCCACTGCAGCGTGTCTTAACAGGTTATGCTCTGCTGAACACAATCCTGATCTTAAGAATTAGCAGCGCGTTCCACTGACCGTGTTTCCCTAAGGGACCGGCTTTTCGGTCTCCACAAGGCATGTGGTGCCTTAAACTCAATCAGACAGTCAGGACACATAAAATATTGAGATCTTAAAAGCGAATATGTTTCCTAAAATGCTCTAAGTTGAGTTATATTTAATCAGTGACACACATTTTCCAGAAAAGAAGTGAGAACATCGAGGGACCATAAGTTCATTCAAGTCAGTAATGAAACATGTTAAAGGCATAAATGGAATGAAGTGAATAGTTGTTGGGAGGTGAACTTTGCTCCCCCTGCTGTTGGTTTTCCAAATAAAGTGATGTTTTCTTAACAGAGCTGCTGCAAACTTTTTTGTCACACAGAACTGATGGACACTCGGGCAGCACGGCCCTTCAGTTTCTCCTTCAACACCAGCGACTACCGCATCCTCCTGATGGATCAGGATCAGGGCCGTCTTTACCTGGGCAGCCGGGAATACCTGGTGGCTCTGGACATGCACAATGTCAACAAGGAGCCACTCATTGTGCGTTGCTTTTTCTTAAACCTAGTCTGCATTACATCTCTAAATGCAATGATCATTAATAATCCAGTATTTTTGGTGTTTTTTGAAAAAAAAAAAAAAAAAATAGATCCACTGGCCAGCGTCTGCTAAGAGAAAGGGAGAATGTCAGATGACAGGAAAGGGAAGACAGGTGGGATCATCTGTTTATATCCTGCTCTTTCAAAAAGAAAACAAAAAAATCACAGACCTGTTCTTTCATGCCGGGACGATGACGACAATGATGTTTGAATTCCATTTGTCTTACTCCTCTTTGTCCAGGGAGAATGTGCCAACTTTGTAAGGTTGATAGAACCGTGGAACCGCACCCACCTCTACACCTGCGGAACGGGGGCGTACCAGCCCATCTGCACATTCATCAACAGAGGCTGGAGGGCAGAGGTGAACACAGAGACGCTTGCAGTTCCCTGAGTGGGATTTACAGCAAAAAAAAAAAAATCCCTGAGTTGTAGGCCTGGAAAGATTTGCCCTGCTAAATATTTCAGGACTACAAACTGGGACACTGATTTGTTTATGATTTCCCCATGCTCCCATGTGACGTCTATTATTATGCATATTCTCCCTGTCTAATCTGCCTCTGCAGGACTACCTGTTTAGGCTGGTCCCTGGGTATGTGGATTCAGGGAAGGGAAAATGTTCCTATGATCCCACACAGGAGAACATTGCGGTTCTAATCAGTAAGCCATGCTTCATTTACAGGCGGAAAAAAACATATATATTTAAATCTAAATGTCTTTAAATCTAAATGTCTTATACCACTGAATCACAAAGTCTTACCTCTCTGTTCTCTCATTGGCTCACCTCTGCAGATGGTAACCTATATGCGGGGGTCCACATTGACTTCATGAGTACAGATGCTGCTCTGTTTAGGACCATGGGAGGGAGAACAGCAATCAGGACAGAGCAGTATGACTCCAGGTGGCTCAACGGTGAGTAAGTGTGGGTGTGAGGAGGTAAATGTTGCTGATTACAGGTTATGGTTCCTCTCATTTTATTTGACAACCACTTGCCTCAATCCTCTTTCTGCTTATCTGTTTTTATCCCACTAGAGCCTGTGTTTGTTCAGATCCAGCAGATCCCTGACAGTGCAGAAAGGAACGACGACAAACTTTACTTCTTTTTCCGTGAGAAGAGTCTCGACTCAAGCGGTGGGGCGAGCCCCAGCGTTTTAGCTAGGGTGGGAAGAGTGTGTCTGGTGAGCCAAACTGCATTGTGCATGTAGTGGAAAGATATACAGCGTACCTTGTAATGTGAAACGTGTTGTACATATTGAATCATGACCTAATTTCCTTCCTGTCTAGAATGATGAAGGAGGGCAGAAGTCCCTGGTGAACCGCTGGACGACGTTCCTGAAGGCTCGTCTTATCTGCTCAGTGATAGGAGAAGATGGAGTGGAGACACGGTTTGATGAACTACGTGAGGCCACGATAAAATAAGCACCGCGCTTAAACTGATTGCATTTTAATTGCAACCGCTTTTACACAGAGTTATTGAATTTGCATATCATTCTTCTTCCAGGGGATGTGTTTATTCAACCCACACAGGATGAACGAAACCCTATGGTGTATGCTCTCTTCACCACAGCGGGGTGAGTCGTTTTTAGAAGCTTGGTTAATTTACACCTCACCCAACCTCATCAACTCACATTTTTGTAGACGATTCAAGTTTTAATTTTAGGAGTTGGGTGCGAAGTGTCTCCAAATGCTGTCTCTTACCTTCACTGTTTCTGTTTAAGCTCTGTGTTCAAGGGCTCAGCAGTCTGCGTCTACTCAATGGCTGATATCCGCAACGTTTTCAATGGGCCGTTTGCCCACAAACATGGTCATAATTACCAGTGGACAGAGTACACTGGCAAGATCCCCTACCCAAGGCCTGGAACAGTATGTCTCAGTCATGCGATATGATCCATTCATACATAAACCTTTTTTAAACAATTTAAACACATATGTACATAAACAAACTCCTCCTCTTCTGTCTTCCCATCCAGTGTCCAGGAGGAACCTTCACCCCTGGCATCCGCTCCTCCAAGAACTTCTCAGATGAGGCTGTGGATTTCATCAGAGCCCATCCCCTCATGTTCCATCCCGTTTATCCTATCCACCGCCGCCCCCTGGTGGTGAGAACCGGCGTGGACTACCGCTTCACTGCCCTGGTGGTGGATCAGGTGGATGCTGTGGATGGACGCTACGAGGTGCTCTTCTTGGGGACAGGTGAGACAGCTGCAGGACTGGGGGCGGGAGGATTATTTTGGCAAGAAAAAGTAGGACTTGAATATAATTTCTTTCCCTTCTAGATCGAGGCACTGTGCAAAAAGTTATTGTTTTGCCCAAGGACCCGATCAGCATGGAGGAACTCACTCTAGAGGAAGTGGAGGTTTTTCGGGTATGTTTAGATGTGTGACGCTGAAATGACTGAAAATTCTCTCATTTCAAGATAAAATCGTGTTGATTTTTCTTTTTATTCATTTACAGACCAGGGCTCCTGTCAAAACAATGAAGATATCTTCTAAAAGAGTAAGTAAATTCCTCTGGAACATTTACATTTCAGTGCCTACTTCGCAACAGCTTCTTCACAGCCTCACCGAATTGGTTTTGTTTTGCTTGTGTCACCATAGCAACAGCTGTACGTGTCATCGGACGCGGGCCTGACCCAGGTGTCGCTGCACCGCTGTGGTGTGTATGGCAGGGCCTGCTCTGACTGCTGTCTGGCCCGGGACCCCTACTGTGCCTGGGATGGAGAGAGCTGCTCTGCCTTCACCCCCTCCACCAAGAGGTCAGGGACGCCCCACAGCTTCCCAGTGCACTTTTTCTAGAGAATAAGGACAGGATGTGTTGAGTCAACTTCATTCTTAATTTTTTGTCTCAGGAGGAGCAGAAGACAGGACGTTAAACATGGTGACCCACTGAGGCAGTGCAGAGGCTTCAATGCCAAAGGTGTGGCAATTTTTTTGTGTGTGTTTAAAGACCACATGTATATCTTTTTATTTCAAGCGATTGTCACTGTTTCTTCTGTGTCTCTTTGCAGTGGAGAAACGTCTAAGAGAAACAGTGCAGTTTGGGGTGGAGGGCAGCAGTACCTTCTTAGAGTGCCAGCCTCGCTCTCCTCAGGCCACCGTCAAGTGGCTTTTCCAGAGGGAAGGAAAGAGGAAAGTGGTGAGGAAAAGCATTAACAGTTTGGGAAGTCCTGCAGTTTGCATTCTTGCAGAGAGTTAGCTGAAAAAATCGCTACCACTCGGTATGACACAAATATAAGTCTTGTCGGCAGGAAATAGTCTTGTCGGCAGGAAATAGCACATACTCCCAAAATTTCAACCTGTTGTTTTTAGACTTGAAACGTTACAGATGCCAGCAGATGAATTTCAGAGCCAGACTGACTGTTTCCTGTCTTTATGCTAAGCTAAGCTAACCAGGTGCTGGTTATAGCTTCCTGTTTACTGTCAGATATGAGAGTGATATCAAATCTTCTCATCTAATACCCTGCAAGAAAGTGATTAATGATGAATGAATTGCTTTAAAGGGATCAAACACTTGCCTACACGTATTCTGTGTACAAATTCAAACACACACCTCCCTCACTTAGACTTTCTGCTTATTTTATTCTTTTTTCCACAGCTCAACCGTGTGGGAGGTCTCCTGAAGACCAACCACGGCATCCTCCTGAAGTCTCTCAACCAATCAGACGCGGGTCTCTACCACTGCCTCGCCACCGAGAACAACTTTAAACACACAGTGGCCCGCGTGGCGCTGCGCATCCTGGATCGAGACATCGTTTTAGCTCTCACTGCTCAAGATGAGGACGAAGAGCCAAAAACTCGCCAAGCGGGAACGTATCCACAGTCATCCCTCGTCTCCACGCCTTTCCCGCCTGAGATTAGACTGATTAATCAGTACTGCCAGTCCTACTGGGAACAGCTTAGTCCCAAACAGCAGCAGCAGCGCAAGCGAACCAGCCGCAGACACACAGAGAGCCAGGACCAAGGCCTCGGCTAGAGGACGGGGCTGACGCTGTCCAACACTGGCCTGTCTGGACTTTATGGTGGACTTTTATGTTTGACATGCATGTTTTGGTGTTACCTCCATTCATTAGGCTGGTGATGCTGTCATGCTGTCGTTAAAGAACTATATTGGTGGTTTTGCAGGTGTCAGCCTAAACACAGATTTTGTATGTTTTACATTACTGATGACCACTTTTCAAAGAATACTGTATGTTTCATTCGGGTATCGGTTCATGTTAGTTTGACAATCAAATCAACTCACAGACTTGATATTTGATTGCATATCATAGGGATTGTTTTAAAACTTTTTCTTGTTGGTACATTCAGGTGACTGTAGGAAATCCCAGCGTCAGTGACTTGAGAATCACTGTGGAAGATCAACATTTTTAGTGCAAGAAACCAAAAAAAAAAAAAAAAACACACTTTTTCACAATGTCCATGTTTGCTTATTATTTTTCTTTTAAATTGATCCCATGACAAAATAAAAGTTTCTGCCACTGATCATTAATTGCCAGATGTTGGATGGTCCTTGAAAGCACCACAAAGGAAGAGTTTGCAAAACACAACTGGATTACCAACTGTAATGTTACTGTGACAAAGGAAAAAAAAAAAAAAACATGCATCACATATTTCAGGCAAGTTTGTTGTTGTTTTGGAAAATGTTTGAATGTCATGTAAAGTCAATGCAACATGTAGTTAAGAGGCTACAACATGCAAAACCACAAGTATGGTCTTTTTAAGTATCTTGAAACAAAAATGTAATATATTGATTGTGAATATAATATATATGGTCATGATATGGTCATTGGATTACTCTTGTATTGTATGAAGATAGTATGATGATATAAATGCAGATGTTGCATGCTGTTGTATCTGTCGTTGTTTGTTGCAAGTTGTACATTTTACTGTTCTGTTTTCAACCTTGGTGTGTTATGATGTTTGTAAGGTGTAATGTATTCTGTTAAGCTAATTCCATTGGATGTTGTCATATAATGGCTCCCTTACTGTCCCGTGCTCTAGTGACCTGCAGTATGTGAGTGTTTAAGATATGTATAGCATACAGTGTTCTTCCAGTTATGCACTTTGTCGGTGGCGGTATTAGAGGGAATTTGGGGATCTTTGCACAGATGTATGAGAAAATGATACAGGAACATAATTTTCATGTACAGTATGTTATTACAAAAATGGGAATGAAACTGGCTCAGATTTAGTATTTGATTGGTGGTGTTCTGTCATAAGCTGTATTTACTTCTTTTTAAAAATGGCTCTTTTCAATGGAAGCACAAGGAACAATATATTTTCCAGTCAGAGCCACCATTCACCTTCATTGTGAGTAACACAGTGCTACGTGCTGTCATGCTGATCAATCCTACACTGGAAATGTTTGAACAAATATATAAACATTTCAGAATTCTCTTAAGTGTGTCCTTCACAGTCCTTTACGTTAAATGACTTGTTTATTTAATCGCCTACAGTTTGTCTCATATACAACTCATATTCCAGTTTGCAAAATCCAAAAATGTTGCTACCCAGAGTTTTCGCCCTAAAAATCACAGTTGAACTAACGTCAAAATCTACACAAACAAGAACCTCTGCATCAGTCGTCCCATTCGTCGTCGTCGTCGTCTTCATCTCCACCCTCTTCTTCACTTTCATCTGAAACAGAGGACAAATATAAAAATATGGGACTTTGTTTGGTTCCTCTTGGTTCAACTCATGCATGTATTTTTCTCTCTTTGCGTAAAGATGTAATTCATGTCTAATATTTACCAGAGGAATGGATGACTTTACTCCTCTTCTGCATGACACTCATGAGAGCACCAACGATGCCCTCACCTGATCCTGGAGACGAGGATGGAGCTGGATCAGGGCTCTCTGTCACCTGTAACACACACCAGGATGGGAGGACAGCATTTAAACATGAATGTCTGTAAGCAAAATTTTAATTATGACACATTGTAGCATGACAATTAAGACCCGTGTAATTATATATAGCATATGTGAAATGTTTTGGAGAAAAAGGAAGTTGCTTTACATTTCTGAGCTTCTTCCCCAGTCGGATCTGATCCAGCAGAGCTCCTCTGCTGTCTCCTCCTCCCGAGGATACAGGGGCAGGTGGTGCTGGGCCACCGGAGGGGGGAGGAGGTGGTGGGAAATCTGAAGAAACAGAAGCCTGAGGAGGTGGAGGAGGAGGGGGTGGAGGAGGAGGTGGAGCACCTCCTCCTCCTCCTCCGCCCACTCTGCTGGGTGCAGATGGGACTGGAGGAGGCGGAAAACGCTGTTGGCTAGATGGCGGCGGGGGAGGAGGCGCGTGGTGGGAGGACATCGGAGCTGAGGCAGTAGAGAACTTTGTGGAAGGTGGTGAGGACGCCGAGAGTGCAGGTGGCGGTGGTGGTGGAGGTCCGCCTCTGTTTGTTGGAGGGGGCGGGGGTGGCACACCTCCACGTGCTGAAGGTGGGTGAGCGGATGGGGTACCTCGTGAGGACTGGCCTGGGATGGGAGGCAGGGGGCCGGAGCGGCTTCGTGGAGGTGGAGGGGTCGGGGCAGAGAGAGTGGAGCCTGGCAAAGGAGGCAGGGGCCCTTGTCTGCCAGGTGGAGGGGGTGGAGGTCCAGAAGCTGTAATGCAGTGGAAGAAGATACTCATCACAACTCAGCCCAGGCTTTAGGCCATTACATCAGCCTGTATTGAGCAGTGTGATTGATAAGTAGGTAGAAAATGATGCTGTCTCACCTCTGTTCACCTCCCGTTTGACGGCCTCCATGCCTCCAGACTGCTCGATGACATTATAGATGAGCTGAGAGGTTTTTTCATCCCTCATCTCAGCTTCACTGATCCCAGCTTGGGAGAGCAGCTTCCACAGATCAGGGTCAATGTTGTTGGGATCCCACCCGACATGACTAACATGCCTGACATGAAGGAAACAAAAAGAGATATGATATTGCAAAACAACATCCTGTCAAGATATTTATCAAACGTCACTGCCTCAGAGATCAGAGGCAACACATTCATCGGCTCAAACACTCACTTAAATCCACTGGGTGCTCCTATGTCTGCTTTGGAGAGTTTGGGGCCCTTTTTCTTGTTCTTCTTGTCCTTTTTCTTGTCTTTGATGCTGAGAGATAAGGAAGAGGTTGAAGGTGTCGTGCGGTAGCGTGAAGACTGGATATCTGGGTTCTGGATGTCCACCGTGGCCATAGGAAAAGATCCAGGGCTACCAGATGATGCTTTTGGAGGAGATACAGAGAACATACAAGTTGGCACTTAACCTCAGGTGGTGGTAAAAGTCGAGTTATAGCTGAGACATGTTGAGGAGTCACGCACCTTTTTCAGGCGGGAGTCGAGGCAGGGAACCTCTGTCTAGAGTGACAGGAAACGGGAAAAGAGGAAATACCTATATTTACTCATACAGTTTGCTATACATGTAGATACAACAGCATGTTGCTGTGTTGAAGTTAATTACTATCTTACCACTAGGTGGCAGGGGGCGCTGTTTCTTGTCTGTCAACAAAGAGAAGAGAGAGATCAGTTTTCACCATAATCCAATATTTAATATATAAATAAAATATATTTAAAATACCCTTAAAACAATCATGTATTGTACCCCTGAGCCCCAAGCCCGCGCATGGGATCGAAAAACCACCTTTCTTGGGAAAAGCGCCTTAAATAAACCATTTATCACAGCCAGAAGCTGTAAAGACTGAGAGAATCGTCGGATTTTGAACTTCCAACTTGGACCGTGAATTAACCAGGTGTGACATACGCTTCCGTCAGAAAATGTGGCAGAATTTAAGCTTCAAATTGCAGTCTTTCCTCGAAATCGCTCCAGTCTACATGGCTTATTAAAAAAAATCCCTAAAATAAACGGTTTGCTCTAACTCTAGCTAAAGCATTTAAAAAACGGATAAATCTACGCTTCTCATCGCATCCACGATGACGTCGATGTCAGGTGGTCACGTCACACTAACGCACGGAAGTTGCCAGCATTTGTTTACAAAGTGCAGAGCGTGGATTAATAGGGAGACAAACACACACAACACTTAAAAAGTTTGAGTTGTAAAACAAATTTATCATGACACAAAAAGGATAAAGACTAAATATAGACTGAAGACGGTTGTTAGTAAGTTACTGGAAGATAGTTTGAGCTGCGAGAACGAATTAAACAACCGGATTTCCAGCGACTCCAGGCGAGGATCCCGACCTGTCTTGATCCGTGTGAGTAAGGCTTTTATCATCCTGTTTCAGACCTGTTTCTTTTTCTTTTAGCATGCTGTATCTCTATGTGTCTGGGTTATATTTATAAGTATTATAATAGCTTCTCACAGGTTTTCAAGACAGTCAGAGGGATTTGAGGAAGGGAAAGACCCATTTGAGGACATGTCAGTAGGTCTATATTTCATCATATTATCGTATGGTATCTCTAAAAATGTGGAAAGGTTGTATTTATACATATTATAATAGCCTGTAAGGTATTATAATACTAATATCACATATAATAAATTGTAATAAACTATTTATATTATAATATTTACAGTACAATGTCACCTGGAGCAACAGATTCTGCTTCTAATATATATTACATTATAAATACCTTGTATACATACATATATAAACTCCTGTGTGTATATATATGCATATATACATATATATTAGTGCAGAAAGTGTTGTGTGGCACTGTGACTGCATTAGACAGGAACTGATGCAGACTGGCATGACTATGGTTCCTCTGCATACTTGTAGTAGTAGTGTTGTATATAGTTGCTTTGAATGATATTATGGCACTATAAATATGCTATGCTGCACATTTAAAACTCTCCCTTCTTCTAGCCATTGTTGTGCTGTTTCCATTGAGGTACAGGACTTTATATTGCTGTGAAAAATGAGCCACAGTGGGTAAAAATGTGTAAAGTCATAAAAACGCCCAGAAACTGCTTGGGGTACAGGGGGTTAAATGAAAAAGTATGTATTTATTTATCAATTATGATTTATCATTGCACCAGCATTCTCACTTTTAAAATGATCAGAATTTGGCAAAAATCACCTCATTAAAGTGGATTTAAATTATTTTTTTTCCAGTATATATTGCAAACAATATATAAGCCCAAGAACATTTACAAAAACATGTTGTAGTGGTAAAGCTATGAATCATTAAAAATGTATTTCATGCTCTATAATTCTAAAAATAAACATTTTTGGTTATGACCTCACTGACCGTGACGGTTGTTTCTTTGGTCGATTTTCTCCTCCACAGCACTTTGGAAGGCCTCTGCTTCCTGTTGCTCGGCAAAGTTCAGTCCCACTTGACAATCCTGCATTGTTTAACGAGTGAACACGGAGTCAAACGCACACATATCTCAACCAATATTTCAAAGATTTGTGACCTGTTGATGTTTTGAACACAGATATTTGAAGGGAACCACATCCTATCAGTAATAGACAGTGATCAAAGTTGCAGGAAGAGGTGGAGTAAGGGTGTGCTTACATCTGCAGCAAAGGTATGAAAGTACGACTGTGGCGAGGAGTAAACAATTTGGTTGTAGAGCTCCTGCTCCCAAACCTGCCGCCCTGCCTGTGAAAAAAAAAAGTTAATATTCCACTGTCTCAATAATACTCCAGATCTGACCCTGTCTGGATTTGAGTCAGTCTGACAGGTTTGTAACGTTTCAGAGGGTCAACATAGACAAAGTGATTATCAGTCTGAAGAGGGCCTGAATATTCTTATGTCGGCTTGCAGTGAAATTCTTGGTACAAGGGCACCACTGTGCAAGAGATTACCTTCAAATCAAACATCCGTATGAAGTAGGAGCGCTGAGGGTTGTCTTTGACGAAGCACACGACTCCAGTGTGCTGCAGACTCCATATGGATGGACTGTTAGGCAGAGCCATGTGCAACTGTGCTACTGCAGTGGCCATGGACTGAACACACACAGACAACACATGCATGGAAAACAGTTCAGTGCTGATAGGACACTTGAGATCATTTTATGGCCGTTCACATGTAAATCTGGTGTTTTATGGTGATATTTTTAATTTGCCACTGCAGGTGTACAAGTCTTTAAAAAAAAAAGTGCAGTTCAAATTAGATTGTTTTGTTGTTGGTACAGCTGTGAACTTCAGTGACTAATACAGAGTCAGGAATAAAGCAACTTCTGCTCGACAGAAACACTAGACCCAATGATAGCGTCTAATTCTGACAGAGAGGAAGAAATGGTTCAGCCACCATTTCCTGATACAGCTACCTCCTTTTTTGATGACCTAATGTCAGCAAGTCTTTTCAAACTGCATTTGCATTAGCGCACAGTAAATTTTATGTGTTAAAATAAGACTTGAGTTCTTAGTTCTTTACCTGAATATATGTAACAAAAAATAAAAAGACAAGCAAATAAAGTAACGAAAAGCAGATCAGACAAGTGTGAATCTACATTACTGTTGTTACTGAAGTTAAATATATAATGTAAAAATCCTCAGCTGAAGTTTCAACTGTCAACTGTGTTCATTGAAATTCAGGATATAATGTTTAACCACCAAAGGCGAGAGAGAGAGAGCGAAAGAGAGGTCTTGAGGGCTGAAACAGTTTACATTGTTCTGTAGCAACCAGAATAACCAGAAGTATCTTGGATACCTTTTTCTTTTACTTTTACAATAAACTGTTCCACCAGAAAGGATACAAGTCAGGACAGACACAGATAGAATATCACCCCACAGTGGGCAACCCCCTCTCTGGTCAGCTCAGAACTTACAGCACACCTTCTGCCCAGCAGCTCCTCCAACTTCTCATTCTCCTGCAGGCTCAGCAGAGGGCTGCGGGCGTTCTCCATTTTAGTTTTAGATCCACGACTCATGGTCCTCTGATAAATCTCCTGCTTTATCTTAAGTGAATGTTTTACAGCATTTGAAAGAGCGTCAGCGCTTACAATAACGGAATACAAAGCTCTACAGTCAAGGAAGTTTCTCTTCTCTGTTCTGTGCACACATCATTTCAAAGCAGGAAATGGGCAACCGCACTTCTCTAACCCCCACTTTTCTTCTTTCTCTCAGACGCAGAGCACAAATGAATGTGTTACTTCCATTTTCAGAGGGAGGCAGTGCACTGTGAGTACTGAGATCACTTCTTATGCAGACTAAAAAGCAACTCAATACATATGTACAAATGAAAGACATATTTTATTGACAGGTAACAACATTCAAGTTAATTTAAAAATGTACAGGATGAACAGCAAATTTTTAAAAGACAAAAAAAAGAAAAAAAAAGTATCCATTTTAACTTGAATTCATAGGTCATTTTTCACCACACTGAACAGTTTCTGGGAGTGCTAAAAGAGACGCAGCATTTGTAACACTGGATTTTTATATGAGCAATTTGTAACTGGCCTTTGCCGAACGTGGTAAAAAAAAAAAAAATAGTGGGTTACATCCCATCTTAATGTGACACAATAAATATATTCTTTGGTTTGTAGCTATGGATGTTTTCAGGGACACAGAAACTTCAAAACTGGACAAACCACCTCTCTGTGTCTTTCTGTGTACGTGATTGTCAGTAACTGGCTGTCTGACCTTCATGAATAGCAGCAAAAACCCCACAAACTGCACCGTCTCCTTTTGGATTCCTTACGAAAGGTCATCCTGGACTCAGCTTTGAAGATGATAACCTTTATAATAGTCAAGTGTCAGAATATATTAACAAAATATCACATTAAACACAGTAATTCAGCTCCATAAACATGTCAGTGAAAATTGTAGTTTGGTACATTGGAATGGTTAGCGTGGAACTGAAGACTTAACCCTGGCTGGTCACATTGAGCTCACATTGAGTTTTGAAATTTGGATTTAAATGTGGAATGAAATAGTAACTGTTCAATGAACGAACTAAAATGTCTTCTTTGTGTTTGATAGAAAGCAAACTCCTGGGAAAAGGCAAGAACCTGCCTTATCAAATTTCTGCTGTGTAAACTCTGAGATGGTAGGGAAGTAGATTGGAAGGATTTTGGCAGTGACTGAGCTGTTCCAGGGAACGCTACACATCCATACTCTAAAATGGGATTTCCATTTGACTCATGTTGTTCCCATTCATCCTTAATGCTGTTACTCCTTTCCTCTCTTTTGCATTTCTTACACATGCCTCCAATAAAACATCCGTACTGCGACCTGTGACACAGGTTTTATCCAGTCAGAACACATTGCTTTGTGTTCTCACACATCCGTGTTTCCTCCTCCATTACAGGACCTTTTGTCTGCCCCATCACATCTCAAAACGCATTCATCTTTTCTTTTTTTTTTTCCTTTTTTTTTTTGTTGTGGTTGTAGGCGAAGGTCCTTCGCATATCCTTCGTCTTGTGCAGCCAAGCTTTACTGCTTTGGATGAGAACTCGGCAGATAAGGGGTAATTTAATGACAGGGAGTTTTGGTTGGCATTCTTTTCATGGTATCTGTGTTCAGTCACGGCAACTAGTGCCCGCCGACGCTTCGGGACTCTCCGGTCGACCAGTCAATGATGATAAATGACAAACTCATGATCATGAAGACGAATCCCAGCGCAGCAAAGCATGCGGCCTACAGGAGTGGAAGGAAATAAAAACAATATCTGTGTCAACAACACATTAAAAAATACAATGAAACAATGGATGACTAAGAGGAATTTAAAGTATCCTTAATAGCTGAAGGAATCAACTTGTACCTGAATCTTGGGTCTGGACAGAAAAGGCTCCTGTTCTTCAGGAACAATCCGGACGTAGAAGATTCCCGGTAGGATAAAGATGAGGCTTGGGGCGGATGTGGCTCCTACAGAAGAAGGTGGAGAATAGAGACGAAGTGAGTTTATTTAAGGTTGTACACGGGAAGTGATAACAGAGTTTACAGATGATGTAGTTGACAATACAAAATCTGAAAAATTTCTTCGTGTGTAAACATACCGATGAGGCCAAAGATGTCGCGGATGGAGGGCACGAAGATAACAAGTAGGTTGACCACGAAGATGAGACAAAATGCAATGGCAATGTGTCGGGCCCAATGGAAAGGCTTGTCAGGGAACAGGATCTGGAGCAAAGCCCTGCGGATCTGTAGAGGGAAGGAAGAAGTAAAGGAAGAAAGAGAGAATATTGTTTTTCTTTACAAATAAGATAATAACCATCAGGTTTGATAAACAAAATTATATACAAGTAAAGGTAGATCTACCACTGCAGGTAACCGTCTTATAAAACTGCCGTTTAGAAACTGTTGATCAGGTGTGTATGTCTAAGATAAAACTCATTAGCTTGACTCCAGCCCAACTAGCGGACATTTTCAGCGGGTATTTTCCATCACCGGTGAAAGGCAAAACATTTGCTGCGATACGTTAAAAGAGAGGGACATTCAGCAGCAGCTTTCTTCTCTCGGCACAGTAACACAATATTAAAGGAATAGTTCAACATTTTGGGAAATACACTTATTTGCTCCCTCTGGAGGAGTAACGCGACAACATGGATACCCCTGTCATATCTGTTGGTTTATGAAGCTGGAGCCAGAGTTAGCTTAGGTTAGCTTAACTTATCTTAGCTTATTTTAGCCTGGAAACAGCTAGCTTGGCTCTGTCCAGAGCCTACAGCACCTGCTCCCAGCCCCCTTGCCCCCCTTGTAAAACCAGAACTTGTTGTTTTTAAACTTTGGTTTTTGCACAAATTAGACAAACAAAATATAATATGTTAATTAGTAAACTTTAGATGTGCTGGTAGATGGATCTTTTAACCTTTGGACAGAGCTAGGCTAACTGTTTCCGTCTGGTTTCAGTCTGTATGCTAAACTAAGGTAACTGACATGAGAGCAGTATCAATCTTCTGTATCTATAGTATACAGAAGAAGTAGTATCTATCTGTCTGCAATAGCTGAAAAAGCATATTTCCCAAAAAGTCAGACTATTTCTGCAATCTGTAAAAGGTTTATTACTACAATATGTGTTTGTGGATAGTTTCCACTCATTTTAAAAACTGATGTTTTCTTGAAAAGCTAACTCTGGTCCCTTTTAGCATCTATAGATCATTGTGAAGTCTGAAGGCAAATGCTGAAAAGGCTCCATACAGTCAACACACTACTGAAACAGAAACAGCTGGTTTTGCTCTCAAATTCTGAGGCATTTTCAGTGCTGATAGACCACGACTCTATTGCGACTGTATCTATGCATAGATCCCTTTGGCAGCATCAGTTATGTGGTGTTGATGCTACATTAGTAGCATTTTGTTACACAGCATCCACAATGGCTTACAAATTGCATTTATTTATTGTTAATAAACATAATTATTATAACTACAGTTCATCTTTTAGAGACATTCACTTAGGTCAGGCCCTTCCTTTAAAATAAGGGTTGATTTAAAATTTCTCACTGAACTAGCATGATGGATATCTTACCGGGAAAAGAACCACAGGGACAGTCAGAGTGACGGCCACCAGCACGGCCAGACGCACACAGAGAATCAGGACATCCCGGGAGCCCACACGACTGTATGTGTGTAACAGCTCCGACTCCACAGCACCTACCCACAGCAGAAGCAGACACCCCTTAACATACAGTGTTTCACATGGTCCAGTCCCTCATTCACAGCATTGAAAAATGCATATGGGCTCTGGGTACAAGTGGGTCATTCATTTGAGATCTTGACATTCACAACATCAGAACAAAGCGACCTTTGAGTTTCAGGAGTAAAAAGTATCGTACCGTAAAAGGTGAGGTAACCAAAAAGAGCAGTCAGCAGGTACATGACAAACATGGCCAAGATGGAGATATTGGCAACACCTTGCATACGTTTCTTGGTGGGACTGTGGGTAAAAGCATGCAGAAAATGACATGAGCTTTATTTCTGCCAATTCAAAAAACACATTTGAATTTCTTGATATAGATGGCATTCTGACTTACTCTCGTAGTTCAGTGTAGATTGGTAGCACCTCTGGGTGGCAGACAAAAGCAAAGGCCAGAATTGGGATGGTGTATGCAGTCTGAAAGCCAAACACACCGAAGGTCAGTGAGTAATATGAGATCAAATGTTTATTTTATAACCAACACTGCTGTTGACACAGCAAGCTCTAGTACAGGACATGAGGCAGTAAATCTGCCGTGCTAACAAAGAAATAGGAAACTAGAAGCAGGCGATGTGAAAATGTTTTTCCTCTAACCTGCGAGTTGATGGTAAATAGCTTGGCCTCACAGAAGTCCTCTGTCACATTAATGGCAGCGTGGTGGTCGGCATGAGGAGTACTGTTATGATGTGTAGTGTCTTCGAGCGGACACAAGGTGTTGAATTTCTTGTAGATAACCTGTGGAGTCACGTCTATTGGTTAATCAAAGATAATTATTTTATGGAGGAACAGTTGGTCATATTGCATGTATGTTTGCTGGTTCTTTGCTGACTCACCGAAATGAGGAAAAACACCATGCAAGAGAGGGAGAAGCCACTTGTGTAGCCCAGGTAACCTGGATTGCAATGATAACAAGATGTTGCAAAATGATTTATGGGCACAGACAGAAGACAGATTCTGGGAGTGATGATACTTTAATTTCAGGACAGGACAGTGAACGCAACAAAAACAGGTAGTGAAGACATGATGTCTACATGAGAGAGTAGGGGGAATTTTTATAAAAAGAAAATGTGATGACAGGATGAAAAACATACCAAGTTGTTTCATGAGTGCTAGAGGAAGGATGATGAAAGCGCTAACAATGATGATCAAGACGTTTCCATTCAAGAACCACTCTCTAAGAAACAGTCAAACAAACAGATAAAAAAAAAAATTAGCACTCCACAAAACTAAAAACAGAAACTACCAAACTATGCATAAAATCAGAATAACTTGGACACTTGGACACTCACCCTTTGCTTTCTTGGTCATCGAGGAAAGCCTGAATAACCAGTGGGAGCTCAGACTTGATGATGAAGAGATAGCTGGACATCGCTAAAAGGAAGTGAAAACTATTTTAGGTTGTGTTACTTACGCATGTTTAATCTTATCTGATGAAATATACACGCTTTCACTGAC